AAATGTGGGACAGAATCCATAAAGTGAATGGCACATATCGTGCATTCTCTGTTCCCCTGTTGACCAGGAATGGGTACTGCCCTGCAAATTTGCAGGAGCAGGCCGATATTCTGGGGGACCACTTTCAATTTGTCTCAGGCTCTCAACATTATCCAGCTGTATTCCAACGACATAAGCTCTAAGCAGAAAGATAAATTGTAAAGACATCTGGAGGTAAGGGGGGACATTGCAATTTTCTTTTCACATTGCTTGAACTCCAGCTGGTATTGAAACATACTAAACTTTCAGCTGTTGGTCTTGATGGTATTCATTATGAGACGCTGAACCATCTTCACCTTTCTACACAAGTTGTCTAGGAGAACCCTGGAACAAATGTTCAACCGAAGGCTAACATATGTCCTTGAAGGAAAAGCTTATTTGCAAAGTATCAATGTGGTGGCCGTTCCTCAAGGTCTACCCTTGATCACCTTGTTGGACTTGAAACGACTGTATGTGAAGCCTTTGTTAGATTTAAAACGACTGTATGTGAGGCCTTTGTAAATAGTCAGTTTAGTTTGTTGGTGTTTTTTGATTTAGAAAAAGCATATGATACAACATGGAGGTATGGCATTATAAATTATCTATATAACTTCGGCATTCGGGGTCAAATTCAAGGTGCTATTCAGGACCATTTAGAAAGACGCACATTTCATGTCAAGGTAGAACTACTCTTTCTATAGAATTCGTAAACAGAAAAATGATTGAACAGCAGTAGAGGCTTTATTGCACAACGTTTCAGGAGAGACTTCCCTTCTTCAAGTGTGCATAAAATACAGCTGCAAAGCGTTTTTAGAGAGCCTAAAGGAGAGAAGGAACATTGGAAAAAGCGAAAGAAAAGAGTGAAAGCCGCTTACAACTCCCTGTAACGCCGAATTAGAGCGCAGCTCTTGAGGAGGAGGAGGGATGGGCACTGGGGGGGTTAAACTAACCAGGGGGGGTCACGTGACCTTGGGGGTCACGTGACCCCCAATGCCGATGATGTCATCACTGACGTCACTGATGACGTCATCAGTGACGATGACGATGCGGGTACTAATGACATCATTAGTGACGTCACTGATGACTTCACCAGTGACGATGACGATGCGAATGTCGGTGACGTCATCAGTGACGTCGCTGATGACGTCATCAGTGATGATGACGATGACAATGCGGATGGCGGTGACGACATCAGTGACGTCACTGATGACGTCATCAGTGATGATGACGATGAGGATGTCGGTAACGTCATCAGTGACGATGACGATGCGGATGCCGGTGACGTCATCAGTGATGATGACGATGTGGATGCCGGTGACGTCATCAGTGATGATGACGATGTGGATGCCGGTGACGTCATCAGTGCTGATGACGATGACGATGTGGATGCCGGTGACGTCATCAGTGATGATGACGATGACGATGTGGATGCCGGTGACGTCATCAGTGATGATGACGATGTGGATGCCGGTGACGTCATCAGTGACGATGACGTCATCGGGGGGTCACGCGACATCGGCGGGGGTCACGTGACCTCAGGGGAGTCACGTGACTTCGGGGAGTCACGTGACTTCGGGGGGTCACGTGCCCCCCCCCCCCCCCCCGAGGTCACGTGACCCCGGTGGGGGCTCGCGCGGTGCGTTATGGGACATTTCCCATGATGCACCGCGCGGTTACGCCGACGGCGACGCCGACGCCGCTCAAGCCGGAAACGGGCCCCTAAGAGCTGCGCTCTAAAAAGTCATATATATAATAGTACAAGTAAAAACACTTGAGCATGAAAAAACTACATTCCAACAAAACACATAAAAAAAAGAAAAGTGGTAGTTTTAAGGGGAACACGGTCGTGGCACTTGTTAGCGAAACCAAGGAAATATATCACAGGCAACGGCCTCCATCACGTTAAAGTTAGAGCTCCAGATCCAGAAAAATAACAACATACAGGGGTCAAGTCGAGTGAGTCTAAGCCACTCCTCTCCTTTGGTCTCTTCAAAAACGCTTTGCAACTGTGATTTCTGCACACTTGAAGAAGGGAAGTCTCTTCCCGAAACATCGTGTAATAAAGCCTCTACTGCTGTTCAAACATTTTTCTATGTTTACAACTTTCTTGGTGAAGACTTGTTCATTAATACAGTTATTAGAGAATTTGTGCAAGAGAATGGCGTACCCCAAGGTGGTGTCCTCAGTGCTACTCTTTTTCTTGTAAATATAAATTCCATTTCACATGTAATTCCCCCTTCAGACCAATACTTCTTGTATGTTGATGACCTCCAAATTTCTGTGTCATCTTGCAATTTTTCTTTTTGTAAATGTAGAATTGAATTAACAATATGGCAAAGTGGGCAAATAATAATGGCTTGTCTCTTCCCTCTTCACTGTTCCTTTCTATTTGTGCGCAATTTTAACCATGTTCAAATAATAATGGGTTTGCATTTTCCATCGAAAAGCTTCTTGCATCCTCTTTTGAAAACATGGACCTGCCCCAGAGCCCGCTCTGACCATGTATAACGTCTCCATCCAGAACAAAGCGATGCAGAAATTTCTTTGCCTTACCTGTATGACCTCTCCATTCAGCACAAAGCGATGCAGAAATTTCTTGGCCTTACCTTTGATAGCAAATGGTCCTTCAGCTTTCATATAATCGATTTAAAGAGAAAATGCCATAAAGCACTGAACGTCCTGAAGGTCCCTTCTCACAAGTCATGGGGTCCTGATCACGTATGTCTATTCAGAATCTACCGCTCAATTGTACCATCCCAACTTGATTATGGGAGTATAGTGTATGGGTCGGCAAGGGCATCAACATTAAAGATGTTAGATCCTGTTCACCATAAGGGAATACGTCTCACCACTGGTGCTTTCTGCACATATCCCGTTTTGAGTCTATATGCTGAAGCCAATGAGCTGTCTTTTGAGAAAAGGTGTTTTTCTTTAGGCTTCATGTACTTACTTAGGATTGAATCAGTAGTGCAACATGCATGTCGGTGAGTCATTGAGAAATCACGTTTCGAAAGAACTTTCCTAAATAAACCCGCAATCGTTCTTTTAGAGCGCAGCTCTTAGGGGCCCGTTCCCGGCTTGAGCGGCGTCGGCGTAACCGCAACCCTCGTAACCCTCGTGAGGGTTACGAGGGTTACGAGGGTTAATCTCATAGGGTTACCCTCACGAGGATCACGAGGGTTACTTACCCTCGTAACCCTCAGGGTTACGAGGGTTAGTTACCCTCAAAAGGGTTACCTTCACGAGGGTTACCCTCACGAGGGTTACTTACCCTTGTAACCCTCACGAGGGTTACGAGGGTTAGTAACCCTCGTGAGGGTAACCCTCGTGAAGGTAACCCTTTTGAGGGTTACGAGGGTTAGTAACCTTCACGAGGGTTACCCTCACGAGGGTCACGAGGGTTATGAGAGTTACCCTCACGAGGGTTACTTACCCTCGTAACCCTCACGAGGGTTACGAGGGTTAGTAACCCTCGTGAGGGTAACCTTCACGAGGGTTACCCTCAAGAGGGTCACGAGGGTTATGAGAGTTACCCTCACGAGGGTCACGAGAGTTACCCTCACGAGGGTCACGAGAGTTGCCCTCACAAGGGTTACTAGGGTTACCCTCACGAGGGTCACGATGGTTACCCAGGTCAAGTGACCCCCGTTGACGTCATAGCCACTGATGACGTCATCAGTGACGTCACTGATGACGTCACCGGCATCCGCATCGTCATCGTCATCATCACTGATGACGTCATCAGTGACGTCACTGATGACGTCACCGGCATCCGCATCGTCATCATCATCACTGATGGCGTCATCAGTGACGCTACTGATGACGTCATCGGTATCGTCACGTGGCCCCAGGTCACGTGACCCCCCCCCCCGACGTCACGTGACGCCCCAAGGTCACGTGACTCCCACAAGGTCACGTGACCCCGAAGGTCACGTGACCCCCCCGCCCCCCGAGGTCACTTGACCCACCCCCCAGTACCCTTCCCTCCTCCTCCTCAAGAGCTGCGCTCTAATTCGGCGTTACAGGGAGTTGTAAACGGCTTTCATTTTTTTTTCAGTAAAATAAATCGGCAGCCGTCTCGGCAGGTTTTGACATCAACCTCCCTGTTGCTTCGGTTTTAGGAACAATAGCTTTATGGCAATGTTTGCCTGCTGTGGACCTGTCTTTGACCCAATACAGTAAGAAAGGCACCCCTGATGAAGTTTAAAAACAGGAATTCCTTTCAACTGCAAGAGAAGTATAACAACTACATCAGCTTTTATGCTGATGGCACAAAAAGTGACTCCTCTGTCGGTTGCTCTGCAATCGGGCCTTCTCATGAATGTGTGCCGACCGCGTCCCGAGGTGATTCACGTCGTTCAACTCAAGTGATTCTATGCTCGATAGGAGTGTGGACTTAGTGTTCCAACTTACTCTTTATTTTACTGTTCTTTTTATTTGCTTTGTTTTGTTTTGTATCAGGGCAATGCACTTTTTAAAGGGGGGAGAAATGCCATGCGCGGCAGCTGGTTAAGTAGGCAGTGCGCTTGTGATTGAATGATTATCGTCCCTGGCTCCTATGCAAAGGGCCCGAGGTTTGATACCTGGGAGCGGACGCCCCTTTTTGTTATTTCTGTAAATGTTGTGTTCTGGTGAATTCGAGAACATTGTTGTTTATTTGAGGTCCGAATGTTCTACGCGCCAAACCTTCTACGCTGAGTGTTCCCAAAGCCCACGCGTGTGCATAAAAGACTTCGCATGCTGAGCCGCAGTTAGTTTTTCAGCCGTGTTCGATTGTGCGGTTTCGCCGCCATCAACGTCTGCGACGCTAGCCTTTTTCTATTTTGTTTTGGTTACAAGTTTGCCCCATTAAGCATTTAGTTTGTTTCACTTTTCAGTGCCTCATCAATTGTCATTCATGACATAATATCTAAAGGTTTAAAAAAAAAAATCTTATTTTCCTTTACGGTGTGTCTTTAAGCCTTTGCTCATTCTATTTTCAGGATGACAGCAACAAGATGTTTGTGCTGTTCGATTTTAAGAAGCTGAGAAGCACCTCCAAGCATCCTTACTTGCCTCAGCTGAAGCTGATGCCCTGCCTCTACAAAAAGCGGTGAAGTGGGTCATGGTTTCGACACGGCAGCCAGAACACATTTTGTGACGTAACGAGAATCATAAATGTTGCACGAGTGTGGTTCACGGACATCGAACGGCTGTCGTCGGTCAATGCAACTGCATGGAAGTCGTGCGTGCCGGAAAAGCTGGCGCTCGGTGAGCCCAAAACAATGTCCCCGCTGGGTGCGGGCGCCTGGCTCACTACCGATCACTGTTTTTCCGTAATGGCTTTTATGAATGGGACAATTTTCGGTGGCAACCTAGACGCGAGGGTTTCGGATGCATAAGCTTTCGTCAGCAGGTGATGTTTACGCGTGACTATGCGGAGCTCAAGTTCGTCTGCTTCTTTTGCGGGAGTTGTGTTGACGTCAGAACACTGAACTCTGATTGGCTCTGATTGAAGGATAGTGGGTAGACGTCAAGGCAGCTTGCTTTGTGGTCTACCCACTCTTTCAATCAGAGCCAATCAGTGCTCGGTGTCTCTCTGACGTCACCACAACCCCTGCAAGAAAAAGGAGACAAACTTCCTCCCTATAGCTTTGACGATATTGCATCAGAAAGAAGTTTACGGGGTGTGCAGAGACAAACGAAAACAAACATGGTTGAACTTCTGGGGGTGTATGTTGCTTGTGGTTCACTGTTGTGTTTGCTAGTTTCTAAAGACTCGGTGAGTAGCACATACTTCAGAAGTCTCGCTGCCGAGGACAAAGTGTGATACCTTCTGAAATGCACTTAGGTATATTGGATCAACATGACTTTCTGATCCCATGGGTGAAGAGCAAGAGAACTCATTCCTCAAAAAAATAAAAAATTTGCTGAAGGTATTGGCAAATTTAGGTTACAGGTATTTAGCCAGAAAAACTGAATGGCCAATCTTTCGGGGGCGGGCGTTATTTTGGAACTTTACGATATATCCTCAAATCTTGAAACATTTGAGGAAAAGTTGATGGATTGGTTTACTCATGGTTAGCTCCATTTCTCTATTGTCACTCTCAGCAGCAGTACATTTATGATTATCAAATGTATAACGTCTGTTTACGTATCTTTGTGCATTTTTATTGTACCCCCTCCTGCAATAACCCGAGAGGATTGGCAGTATTTAAAATAAATAAATATATGTATATATATGATGTTTATGCTACTATATGTATAAAGAAATCTATATTTGGATTGTTTTTTCTAAATTATTGCGGTAGGTAAAGGGTTAAGAGACCTAAGGAGCAAGAGGAACTAATATTGTTTTCGGCTTTCTGTTTTTTATCTGAGTGTCAGGGAATTCTCTGCGACCATGACATGAAGTATAATGATTTTTGGTAAAAAGTTCAGCCACAACAACAAACATATTGCAGTTTTCACTTACTCGCACCCCACAAGCAACGAAGTTGTTTCTCAGAACCACGACCTCGCGCAGTTGCTTTAATCAGCATTGCCAAAGTGTGCTTTGGTCGAGTTCACAGCTCGACTACATCATCGCGGCAGTTTCCATCCATGGAAAATGTTGGCAAGGTTACCGCCAGGACTGTAGTTGTTGAGACTCGTGTATTTCTGATACATAGATCCCCTTGTTTACTTGTAAAAGCCTTGCTTTTTCAACACGTCTGTAAAAATATCACCTACAAGGCACATGGCAAGTAATGTTCGGGGGCGGAGGGGGGGGATTTGGCTCTTTAAAGGAAGATGTGCTTCGTGGTCAGGGATAAATGAGTGTCCCACTAATGTTCTTCCTTTTGTGCTTTAAATCTTTTCTTTTTTTGTGTATGTGTGTGTGGAAGAGGGCATGTTTAAATGGAAGCTGCCCACTCCCTCCTGGCTGCTGCTAGCCATCTGCAAATATTTGTAAAAAAAATTCTTGCCCGAAAAAAAATTGTTTTTACTTTTAGTGTTTTTTGTAAAGTTTTGTATTCATAATTTCATTGACAGACACAGAGACATTTTATTGTTGTAAAATTTATTTGACATAACAGGAGTTGGTGCTGTAAAATCACCCTAAAAATGAGTCAACAGTGCACGCTCAAAATAGTAAAAGAGTGTGGTGCATTGAACGATGACCGAGTATGCACCGGTTCAATTTCTATTTGAGGTTCTCCCACCCAAAGGCTAGCCACCTGGGGCGTCGGGCACAACAAGCTTGCCCTAAACATGTGATCCGTTTTTCTTTTAGGATTTAAAAGCTTTCAGTGGTTTCTCATGTCCAACTTGATCGTGTGTTGGCTGATGTTAACCCGCGCAGAGATGCCCCTTTGAAATATAGTACACCTTTTAGCATCATCACTCTCCATTCGCACTTCGAGACAGTTCGGGTTTTGTTCTATAAATGCACCTTAACTTGGGCCCTAAGCCGAGGCATTGTACAAAGCGCACTGCCCGCGTGCCACATGTGATTGATGTACAAACCTACAGAACTCGGTATATGTACAAAATGGGTCTAGTGTTATGTACAAAGGCACATGCTGAACACACAACATTGTCTGTGGCAATAGAGTTGGTACGGTCCACGCTGGAACCGTTCTTTGTTCTGTTTGAGACATTTTTATTTGGTTGAAGCACCAAGACGTGTTTCTAGAGAATCGCATAGATTGATGGTCAAGTAAATAGTCGGCAGACTTCTTTTACTCCTGTTTCTCAAAGGAAAGACTTCAAAGCACCAAGGAGAGTTCATATGGTTGCGTTGAAATCACTCCAATATTGTTCAGATTCGTCTGAAAGACGTGGCACTGCAGAGTTTACAGGGAATCAACACTTCCGTTCATCTAATCATGATTGTCGTATTGCTGTTATAGTTCGTAAGAGGCTAAGAATGAGTAAAAGCATGCGCTCGTTGCCTTCTGAGCTTCGTCTGCGCATGCAGCAAAGTCTGGTCAAAAGCAGAAAGCTCAGATAGGAGGATAAGCATCTACTGCAATTCTTAACCTGTCACTATAGTTTCGCACAAAAATATTTAGGGATTGGCAGGTTTTTTTGTTTTTTTTTTTCAGTCTTAAGACGCTGTTTGTAGCAAGCTCGCCCCAGGTCTGCCACACTGAATAGTTCAATATTATTGGATCTGAACTTACTTTTTTTTGTTCTGAAAACTGTTTTACAGTATGGCCATTCTGAACAGAAAATGAGAAGTGTATCCTAAAGTTCCTCATAAACGGCGCACATTGCTTGCGACTAGCTACATGCCATGAGTTGCCGACTGCGTGACACTGCACGTTTTTTGGGATCGAGTGGTGGCGTAGAGCAGCAGAATATACTGAAATATGTTATTTTGTGCCTGTGAAATGTGCTTCTTCATTCGTATTTGCGTCGCTTGTAAAAGAAAAGAATCGAGGGATTTTAGTGCACCTTAGTTCGTGTAAAGTGGTAGTGGAGGCTGCGAATGACTTAGCAGTATTGGCTTTGAACTAACACATCCGTAGCTGTCATTAAGTAACTTCCAATTAAGCCGTAAATAAAGCAGACAGGGTTATGTCTGAGAACGAAAAACCGTGAAAGAAAAGGTGCACAATGTTTCGTGCGCTCCCAGTTTTTTCGTGGTCGTTCCAAACCTTTTTTTCTTTTTCCCCTTTTTTATGAAAAGCTATGCGCATACGTAGGCCTTTCTCGCAGAGTGATGAGCGCTCGAACTACGACTGGCGTCTCCTCCCTTTGCGACTGAAGTGGCGATTGCGGGAGAGATAGCGCAACTCCCCTTCGGACGCCGATCGCACTTATCGATGGATTAATCGATCGATGGATCAATGGACGGATAATTGGGTCATGTCGTTTTGTAGGGGAACGCTCGCCCCTCGCCGCTTCATACGGCGCTACACTCAACAGTGATACGAGAACCTATTCTGACTGAAGCGAGTTGGAATGTTTCTCGGGTTGCGCAACCTTTTGTTCGTATGGAAGGGATCCGTCGGTCAGGCACTTATGCGGCCTTTATTTGAATACGTCGATGACCCTCGATGGCTACATCACTTTTGTGTGTATTGCGTCATTTTCTGGAGCGTCGGCACCGACGCCAGGCACTTTGGCTTTCCCGAAACGAACGATGGGGGTATCGACAGACGTGCAAATAGAAACAAAGTGACCTTGGTGACGCACAAGCTGCATCACAAAATAATCAGCCGTCGAGAATGGAGCCCTCGTTCCGAGCTGCTGATTGGCTCTCTGGGGCCTGCGTCATGCAATCGTCCAATCGGGGTGAGTGGTTTCGAGCGTCGGGAAGTGACAGGAGTGCACGGGTTGTTTCAAAGTGGAAAATAAACATGTTTTGTATTGTGTCTTCGAAGTACTGTCAGCTGTACCAATGGGGTGTTGAAAAGGCACCGGGACATGCTGTTTTTTTTTTTTCTTCTTATTTGATGTCCTTATAGAGGCTGGTTCACACGTTTGCAACGGTTGCGTTCGCGTGCAACCGAAACGACTGTAGGGACGAAAACACCGCAACAACCGTGACCCATGGATGGCTTCGCGAAGCTACCCCTTGCATCGGTTGCCATGCTGTGTACGGCGAGCACTTCTCCGGTGACTTTGCCGTTACGGTCGTATCGGTTGCATGCGAAGAGAAGCAACGTAGATACGTGAACCAGCCTTAATACGGTTACTGACATCGTAGCCTATTCTTATTGGTCTTAACCTTTCCCAAGGGTTCACAAATGGGACTGCAGCAGTTCGGTGTGCTCGTAGAGTCATAGTGAATCGTAAAGTGGCCACTGAAGCTCCATGGCTGTCCAGCTATTAGGATTATAGCACGTGCTAGCTGTCCGCAATGGCGTCTAATTATGTTTATATATGTCATTTGTATCATTAACAACTGGTTCTAATTTAGTTTAGAAGTTTCTAAAATTATTAGTTACTTGGCGATACGCACGACTTTTGGCAGCTACCACAGCGGCAGCCAAGTGTATTGTCGTTCTTCTCATGTGGCGAAGGTAAGACGGTTAAAGACGGAATTACATGAAGCTTGTTTCATGAGTGTTAATTGCAGCTCTTTTCTCTTTCATCATAAATGCGAGCGTGTTGTCTTGAACAATGTTATCACTTCACGAGCGCGCGTGAATCTTAGGCCCGTTTAATGCGTCTAGCCACTAGAGTCACTGAATGTTTCTAGAGTATCGCATGCGAAAGCGTCCGCTGTGACTGTTCAATTTTAGCTTTGATCAGTTGGCAGTTTCAGGAATGCCAGTCCCCGCCTCACAAGCGCAGGCGCCGCGTATTACCCCCAAAGTTAGGACGCGCCCAGGTCGGGACGTACTGCCTGAAATCACCGATGAGACATGGTTGTATAAAAACCATAATAACTGTGCCGCAAAACCTTGTAAACTAATATATTATGAAAACATCACGCTCCTATCAATCTGTACTAATCTAAAAAAAAAAAAAAAAAGTTTCTACACGAGTTTTTTCTCTGTTACGCAAAAATATCCTTTCTAAACGCTAATGATGACCGCAATAAAAAAGGAAAAAAACTTTGGCGTCATCGAGCTTGGGAGTTTCGGTACTCTGGTTTTATACACTCCATCTAGAAAAAAGAAGGCCTCAGAAAGCCCCCCTTTTACTTCATGGAACGTCATCACAGGCGGATGGCGCCAAATCGGCAATGCGAAGAGCAAATCGTCTGCTTCTTGAGCTGGAATTGCGCTGACGTCAGGACGACGTCGACCTCTTGGCTGATTAACAGAAAGAGTGGGTAGACCTTGAGGCCTCTAGCATTGAGGTCCACCCACTATCCTTTCAATCCAAGCCAATCCGAGCTCGGCTTCGTTCTTCAGCGCACCCCTTGGGCAAGAAGCAGACTACTTGCTCTTCGAAACCCGAGCCTCATACCGAGCGTCTTTCAACGCATTGATTGGACACAAGGCCCAGCCGAGTGCTCACGCAGCACTCGTATCCAATCAGTGTCTTCGATCGATCTCACCGTGATAACGTCAAAATTCTATTGCACGGGTTTTTGGTCATTCTAGATGGTGTTAGTCGAGCTCGCTCGCCTAAGGTCTTTACACGGGTAAAGCGGGACGCCTGCAGAACAGTTATTTTTTCTTGTGGTTGTTTTTGTGGCCACAAAGAATGTTTGTGCATTACCCAATTTTTTTTTTTTTTTTAGTGAGGTTTTGATTTTTTAATTGTATATCGTGCGTGTGATTCCATCTGCTCTGAAATTTAGAATTGAGCCCGTGCGTTTTTGCGGCCCTAACTAGATTTAAAATTCCAGTTAGTCACGGCAGAATAAGTGGCGCAAGCTACCGCCCAATACGAACGGAATCACTGGTCTTAGTTGTCCACCTATTCAGATAGCAGCAGTCTGCGACTTCACCCATGTTAGTGAACGGAAGCGCCTAAACAGGAAGCCGAGACTCACTTTAAACAGCGGCTAAGCGCACCGACAGTCGAGTGGGCCGCTGGGGCCTCAGCTTCTGGCCCCCACTCTACGTTACACTATATTACTCTTTAAGCATCATGCTCCGAAGAACGCAGCTCACCTGTGCTGCAGCAGGGAATGCACCTTTTCATCGCTTATCACCCAGGCGGAAAATGCATAGTCATCGGGATGTGGACGCGTGCGCGACGTCTGATATTCTGCAAAGGAGAGCTACTGCGCATGCCCCGAACGCGTTCCACAGCCCAGTAGACAAAGATGGCGGAGCTCAGGAGGCGATTACTGGAATGGCCTGGGTGCGGGGCTTTGGCGGTTGTCGTCTAATGCGCAATATGATTATTGCGGATTCGATAATAGGATGTCCGAGAATCGTCACGCCCTACATTTCTAAAGTTGTCGGTGGCCATAACAGCCGTGTCGTGAGTTGGTCCTCGGCAAACTCAGTGTCACGAGTCTGCTCCGTATCGCCAGGCAATGAAAAGAGAGAGAAAAAAAATGGCTTCGATACGTAAACAAAAAAAAAAAAAAAAAACAACAACTGTGGGATCCGGCACGGAGGTAACGCTTGGACCGTACTCGATCCGTGAAGCAAAGGGGTCCGGCTTCTTTCCGTGATAGCTCCCTTGTCACGTATTTTTTTTACTCCGGAACTACCAGGTTTAGCTAGACCAAAACGGGCGTCAAATGGCCGAAAGTGGCAAAAACGTTGGCCAGCCGTCTTACGGTGTCAAGGTCTGGTGGAACATTGATCGGCATGCCGGCGAAAGCGGCATTTGTCGCATATGCCTTCGAATGCCACTGATTCATTACAACGTCACCAAAAGCATAGGGTCAGCTGTGAAGCGCTTCCTGCGTCAAGGTCCGTCCTTACAGGCAGGGCCGTACCCAGAAAAAAATTTCGGGGGGGGGGGGGGGGGGGGGGGGTTTCGGGGACAACGGCGGCCATTTTGAAAGTCTCTGTTGTCTTATTTTCGCCTATGAATCATGTGCATCGGTGGCATATGGAGAGTTACAGCAAACCGGAGAACCGGTCCCGGTTTGGTACCCGGTAGCCGACCGGCGCCACTGCGCGTGCGCAGGGGTGGAGATTAAAATCGGCTGGCTGCCAGTGCACAGACCACGGCCGTACCCAGAACAAAATTTCGGGGGGGGGGGGGGGGGGGGTTCAGAACCCCCTTCCTCCCCCCTGGTTACGGCCCTGCTTACAGGGCACTCGTGCGTCCGCCTCTTGCCGTGCACGCCTTTTTCGCCGAATGGAAGCGACGTTTTTTCTATCTGCTTTCAAACGCTTCCTAATGTCCGAGATTTTGAGGAAATTGTGGTTGCTCTCGAAAACGGCCTATAACAAGTTATAAAGAAGGCCACCGAACTTCAGTCGAATGATGGGGTCTTTATAAATTTTTTTAAAGCAACCGGAAGTGGCCGAAAGGCGTCCCTTCCTTCCGGCGACAATGGCGTTCACGGCAAAGAAATTGGAGGCACCCATTTGCGAGGAAAGACCTCGAGGAAGCCGAAAATTGTTTCATTAGTCAGCGCACAGTGCGCTCTCGGCGCTGAAGTTACGTGAGCCTGCGAGTCTATCACATTTAGGAACATGACATTAATTATGTTCCAAACAGTTTGCATGATGTTATCTGTCTAAAGTGGTCTGGTGTAGGACCTAGATAAATTATAAGTTGCGGACGTTTTAGTCCCAACGCACACTGAGGCGTTGAACAGCGAACACCAAGTATTTCCGTTATCGCTTTGGCCCGCCAACGCATAACAGAGAGCTCTACAGCTTACCCTATATACGCCTCCAGTGACGTTCAGCTCGTTAAACGACGAAATGCACCCGGTATGATGTAACTCTTCCACACCTTTCCCCATCTGCATGAGCATGAAGGGAGGGACGCCAACTCCTCCGACGACCCCGTGGACAATCAGGGGGCGTCCAAGTCGTCGATGAGGATGACGGATTTGCTGCTCCGCCTGCGTCTCTTGAGTCCCGGTGTCCTGAAGGCGGACGCGGCGACGGGGATCCACGCAGCTCCGCGGAACGATGCCGTCGGGCTGTGCGAGGGCAGGGCCCCCGCGGGCTGGACTACCGCCGCCGCTGTGTCTGAGGGTCATTCTTCTCGCGTCATGGACAGCTTGCGTCTCACTTGGGCGGCCACGTCCGCCGCGCTGCCCTGGAAGGACGTGGTCGCGCCAGAACCGGACAGCAGTTTGTCCTGGAGGGTGGCCACCTTGGACATCATGTGGGACAGGAGCTGGCGCTCCTGCAGCAGCGAAGCATGACACGGGTTCTCAAACAAGGTGCTCAGGAACGCGGGTTCCCCACAGTCAGTCACAAACTAGCTATTTTAATAAGCTGTACAAGTCAGCTATCAAGCCGCTCGTGAAAGCTGGTAAAGTCGGTTCAACGTCAGTGCGGCTGAACGTCCAATGAAAGTGTTAATGTGTATACTATGTGACAAGGGGTGTAATACTATGTTCTTTCTTCTTTTTAGTCGTTACCGTCGCGGGGTTTCCGAGACCTTAAACTTCCTCTATCGTCCCTGCCCCTAAAGCCGGAGTCACGGAGCTCATACATCATAGAAAAGGCAGTCTGCAAACACGAGTTACCGCAATATCCGTGGTTCGAATGCCGCCTGCCCGAGTTCCCTCCTTGAACTTATTGCCATGCGGCCTTCGAAGTACGGATCTCGCGGTGGCTCGCGTTGGAGTCTATGCAGACTGTCTTTTGTGTGATGTATGAGCAGTGTTACCCCGGCTGAAAGGAGCCCATGAAACGATTTTCCTATTTTTTGCTAAATACTACTTAGAATCACTCCCTAATAAACTTGCCTTAACTTTTTTTTTTTTTTTTTTTTTAAGGCAGTGGTGGTCGGCAAGAAAAATTGAGAATATATGAGCATTGTTTATCCCCTCAACTCGGAGACCGAACAAGAGGCCACGTGGCCCGGTGCCTATCCTATGCCTCTAACGTTAATCATAGCCATATGCGCTGGGCGTCGCAAAGTAGAAAACGCTTGCTGAGCTCCAGGCATTGTTAAAGTTCGGCTATTCTCATCTCCGCAGTGGGTGGACACGAGCCACTATCCCAGTGTCCGGCGAGGCATTAATTGTTACTAGCCGAAGTCGAGTGGTCACGCAGTTCCCGTGTCCAGTCCATGCGCGTCAGGTGGGAGGTTTCGTCAGACATGTGGTTTCGATCTCACAATCACGTCATCAAGCCTTGCGAAGGCAAGACTGAAAAAAATAGTCCCCTTTTATCCTGGCAATTTCACCTCGACAAAGAAGCCTCCGAATCAGCGGCGGTCTGTGCGAATAAACTTGGGCCAGACTATAGTACCAGTACGCCTGTGCAAAGTCATGAACATTCCAACCCGATATCGTTTCATGGCCCCTTTAAGTAAAATGCTTTCCCAGTTCAAGCACTCTTTTAGCAGATTCGAGCTGGCTTGCTAGAATCAGCTTGTTCACTTAAACTGTGCGAAAAAAAATAAAAAGAAAAGCCTGTCAAGCTTGTGGCGCTCGAGCGCTTGAGACTCGGCTTAACGTGCCACTCCGCTCGTGCTCCAGCTTTGGCAGTGCTTTCTTTCACACAGTCTCAGTAAAGACGCTGATTACAGCGAGCCAGCACTGACCTACACATTGATACATAACTATGAGCCAAACTCACGCTCTACTTCGTCTCACCTTAGCATGGGTTAACTGCGAAGGCTGCGCAAGCGCGAGCGGCTAGCCTTGTCCGCCTTGGCTGGAGCACTCGCTGTACGAGCGCTTGTGCATGCCGCCTTGGCGTCATCCAAAGCAACTAGCTCGCGCTTTTAGCATGTGCGGCTAACAATAGTCCACTCCATGCTAAGGTGAGACGAAGCATAGTATGTGCATTACTGCTTACACAGGATCTGTTGGGTCCTGCCCTGCTTTGCCGCATCAATGTCGAGAACCGGGAGAAGTTCCTCGGCTATCGATCAATGTGGATGGGGGTTTCTCGAGATTGGAAAGTTTAAGAACACCCGGAGTAGGGAACCCGCAGCTCTCGAGTTCTGAGCAGCGCTCCAGGCGAGCAAAATATAATATTTATGGCTCGCGTTTCGAACATGCTTCATTGCGCTTCCCCACTTCAGTTTTTTTTTTTTTTTTTTTTTTTGTGCTTCGTTTTATTATAAGTGCCGACAAGACAGTGGCTACAGGAGCGAGCTCCGAGCCTTCAGTGTCCCTGCCAAACACGCGCGCTCGTGCAGCGCGAGCATCGTTCAGGGGAACATGCTTTTGCAGCTTCGGCTTCGATATGACGTAAAGCGAACCATACTTCCTCCCTAAGGCCATCATAAGAAAGCATTACAAATAACAAAGCTAAAGGGAATGTTTAATGGGACGCGGACGCTGTAGCGAACGGCTGCTTTTTCAAAGTCTCCGCGGATTCCGATCTTCTGACCACCGCTGGTCAAGCAACCCGCAATCTTTAGCGTCCCGCCTGGCCGCCCAAACCCTCCCAGTGGTGGAACTTCTGCTCCAATTGCGACAAAATGCGCCAGAACGAATAACCTGCTACATGCTACTCCATGTATGCGCCGAAAGGGAGCTGTTCCCGAAAAGGAAACTGGAAGTGTCTGGCAGGTGACATCGTTGGCGATGCCACTGCAAACTAAGGAAGTACAGTTTGTTTTTTGTTGCTGTTGTTGTTATTGTTTAGGCCTAAGTACTATGCACAAAGAGTAGGGCTGCGTGAATATTCTAATTTTGTAATAGCAGTTTCAAATAATACTTTATTTGATATTCGCTTCCAAATGAACTGCGAAATTAATATTTTTCGAAGTGTTGATCGCAGCGGTTTAGCCCCCTTGAGTGCGCTTCTCCTCAAGCAGAGTTCCACTGCGGAGAAACAATACCCGCGGAGCGGACACAGCGATCTCGCGACTCGCTTTGCCGCAGCGCAGCCGCGCGCTGAGGCGAAAAACACACCTTCGTAGTATGGTGCACGGGCGTGCACCATACTAGTTTAAAAAAAAAAAAAAAAAAAAAAAAAAAGAGGAAGTTTTGTGATGGTTGATATTACATTGCTGTAAACTCTTCAAGATTTAACTGTGGATGTTATGCAATGGTAAACAGCGATGTTCTAAAAATTCGTGTTCATTAGTGGCCTGTTTGTTTTTGTTTTTAAATTTAGTATTAAAGAAAACATTTTTATACAACAAGAATATATATAGATCACCTCAATTGAGTATGGCTAAGCTCCTTTATAGGTCCAATTTTATGTCAAATCTGTCGTTCACTTGCCATCCCAATGCAGGTACTGGACTTTTTGAGGCTACGGCTTATAAATATAATTAGATTAAATTTATGAAAAAAAAAAACAGTTATGGCGCAGGCGAGCTGGTGTAAGTTTACCGTTTTTAGACCACCTGAGACTGGGTGGAAGAAACACGAGACGTCGTCGCGTTCCTTCCACCCAGTCTCAGGTGGTCTAAAAATGGTAGATTAAATTTAACACAGCTCATGAGTTTGCAATTAGGAGCTTAAGAACGACCTTCGCGAGTTCAGCTGTATTTTCTCTTAAGCGTGGTGTAATAGTAGTGAAATGCACGGAGAAAGGCGCATCAACTCTTCAATATTCGATTGAAAAATATTCGACCAAAACCACTATTCACTTTAAATTTGCTTCGAACCTAAAATCGATTATTTGCTCATTCCTAACGAAGAGTTGTCGGTTTTTGTGCGAACGGGCGCTTACATCGATCGCAATGAATAGCTAGCGCTATTCATTGTGATTTGTTAGAGTAGCTATGTGGTCCGCTCAGCTGCTCTATGAACAGCAGCAGGTTTAGTACGAGCGAAGGAAGTGTGAGGCACATTCAACACAAAAGTGTCCGTTTGGTGTCGAACTCGCGACAATTACGTCACCGTCATACAAGCCTTACAAAGTAGCCCAAAACATCTTTTTACGTCAAACACAGAGCGAAGACGCCATTGGTACTGTATTTTACGGGCAATAGTCCGCGGACTATACATGTTTAAAAGTTGAAATTTTAAGCTGTGCGGACTATCTACGTGTGGGGACGATACAGGATTTGTGTTTTTTTCATATCGTTGATTATGACGAGACAAGACGGATTTTGTGAATGAATGAGTACGTTAATGAGGATTTATGTATAATACAAGCTTCATTGTGAGCTAGACAAGCAGACATTTGTCAAGGTGGGGTGTGTATGAGAAGGTTTTCGTGCCGACTAAGCACCAGGGGCGATTATGCACGTCGTACAGACTGTGCACCGAGCACAAACTATGTAAGCAAAAAAAAAAAAGAAAAGAAGTTTTTTCGGCCCAAAATTGGTTTTTGCGGGCTATACTCCGGGTGAGGACTATAGCCCGGAAAATACAGTAGGTCTAAGGCTGGTTCACAGTGCCCCATTTTGTTACGTTAAGTTACTTTACGAAATATTACGTTGAGGCCACCGGGACCTCTTTGCTTCATATTAAAGGAGCGATGCAACATTTTTTGTACTTTGCGCAAATACCGCTTAAAACGGATCCCTAACCTTAATGACCTATGAAACACGCGTTCGTTTTTCACCCCACGCAATAGAAGTCCCAGAAAAAAATTTAAGTAAAACGAGCAGCGTTCACCCCCTCAACTCGCAGCCAGAACAAGCGGCCGCGTGATCTGGAGCCGATTATATGCCGCCAGTGTTGATCATAGCCACGCGCTGGGGTTGGCAAAGCGCAGGACACGCGCTGAGTTCCAGACATTGTTATGGCTCGGCTGTTGTCGTCGTTGCAGCGATTGGACACGGGTCACAACCCGAATGCTTCTCGAGCTAGCAATTGTCACGAGCCCAAGTCGAGTGCCCACGCAATGCTCGGGTCCAATCTATGAACCGCATTCAAATATCGTCACTTGGGTGTACTGCGATCCCCGAGTTACGTCATCAAATTTTGCAAAGGAGAGATTGAATGAAAATGATCGCTTTTGTCCTTGAAATTACAGCGCAACAAAGGAGTTTCTCGGCCAATGGTGTTGCGTGTGAGTATCCTTGAGTCCCAGGTGTGCCAGTAAGCTCGTGTAGAGAGAAAAAACATTCCAATTGAATATCGTTGCACAGCTCCTTTAAGCGAGGCTACCAGTTCAAGGAGAAAGCATGACACGCGACATTCGAGACGCGAAGGTTTCGGTGCCTTACGTAATCTAACTTAACGTAAGAAGATGGGGCAGGGTGAATGAGCCTTAATTTAGACATCTACGAAATTGCCGGCATATGATTGTTCAATAAATAAATCAATGAATATATGTAGAGGCCAGGTCCCCTGTAGGTATAACATTTTTACCTCCCTACATTCCAACTGCCGTTTATTCCAGAGGCTAACTTTCGAAGAGATTGTTTAACATTTTCCAACATGAAAGCTCAAAATTGTCTGCTCCAAAGCCCGCTTTTCCTTGCTACAAGAGCTGCTCCAAATCATCACTTGTCAGTTCCACCACTTCCCTCCGGTCCAGCTCCTAAGCACCGCGAGGTATAGCCGAGCAACTGAGGTCCATCCTAAAGGAGGCTTTAGATACAACACCAAATTATGAACTAAAATCTGCGCTCCTGCAAGTTTTAGACAAGCTTTTTTCGACAGAAACGAAGCGGAAAACCAGAACATCAAGGCTAGAAAAGCGAAGAAAGCTAAGTCTAAAGAAACTTCTACCGTCGTCGAGTCAATACCTGACGGCGAGAAAGTTCCAGAAGGACGCGCCACCGTAGTAAAGCAAACAAATATTGCGCAACCAATGACGTCACGCGAAACACCTGCTGCCTCAACAAGCTAGCCGACATTGAAACACTTGCTAGAGACAGAGGACGAACCTTCGGGGTCAACTGCCACTTCAAAAACAGCGATGAAAAGAGCTCGCCACAATGCAGAGGGATTTCAAGGCAAACCCACACTCAAAAGCTCTCAGTCATCACACTACAGCATCACGATCAGACGAAGAAATGAAAGAAACCGCATTTCTATCCCCAAGAAAGTGGCACATCAGGCGGTTTCGAAAGTTCTTGGCAGCAAGCTACAAGAGGTCTCATACAAGGTTCCTAAAGACAGCAACACAATCTAAACCAGAACAGCGCTAGAATCGAGTGCCCACCTTTTGCTGAGCATGACTGAAATACCAGTCCCCAACGGTCCACACATCCAGGTTCGAATCTTTCGAACCATGGGGGAAAACCATGTTTAATTAACCTGAGACTGGGATAGAGAAGAAACATCAAAACGTAGAAGGGACAGAAAATAGACAGAACGACGTCGACGTCTCAGACGTCGTTCTGTCTATTTTCTGTCCCTTCTACGTTTTGATGTTTCTTCTCTACCCCAGTCTCAGGTTAATTCAACATGGTTAATATTCACCAGCTCGCCTGCACCCTCACGATTTTTTCTATGGAAAAACCAGATCAAAGGTGTCATGCACGAAGCAGACCCGGACGAAGAGGACACTTCGCTCGGGGCCAAGCTCAGATCTGACACCCACACCACTGTAGCTGCCCGTCTCATGGGAAAGAAAAGTCGCACGGCGCTCATCACGTTCCAAGAAAACAAACTTCTCAGGTTCGTAAAATAGGCCAGATGTATTATACAGGTCCACCAAGAACACTTAAGACAGTAACCTGTAATAACTGTCACGTTATTGGCCACAAATCAGACATAGGCCCCGGAGATGCGGTCTGCGGATCATGCGGAAGGTCACACGAGGAAACTCCAGATGACCAGGAGAACTGCAACGCATGCCCGCAGCCGGATGCTTTTGGCCAGATGTGCAAGAAGGCCGTAAACCTGGCAACTGGCCAGGAATGCCAAAAAAAGGTAGAAATTACCAGAAAAGCGGAGAGAAGTAACCAAGATGAAGAACAAACGCCCAAAGCACCATAAAAAAACATGGCGCCCCGTCCAGCCCCGGGATGGAAGACGACACTACAGGATCACCAAGGCACAACAGTGGCAAAATCTAGAATCCCTGAACAACCAAGCCATGAGAATCATCACGGGCCTCCATAAGTTCACTCCGCTTGGGAAAATGGGGGACCACGCACAGATTAACTCGCTTCACGATACCGTGGTCACCCGCACTGTTGCAGATGGCGAGCGCCTCAAATACTTCAATCAAGGATGGGAAATCCTCAAGCTTCTCTGGCACGTAACAGAGGGCCTCCCTGTCCTTCCCGAACAACTCCCTCCTTGGGATGATCACATGGACATAACCGAAAACAAGCCGACTGCCCGAAAAGGCGACTCCCAACAGCAAGCGCGAATCGCAAAAGGGCACTGCAAAATGCTTGAGAACTGGACCGATCCCACTTACATCGCGGCCGCGTACACCGACAAAGCCGCGCAGGGCTCTCCTATTCTCTTGAAGACCGCGACAGCCTTCTTTCCTGTTCTCGGGTCTTCGACCTCGATTGCACTTCCAACACAGACCTCCACCGAAAAGGGCGAACGTACAGCGATTCAACAAGCCCTCGAAACCACCCTGGACTCAGGAAACCCGCTACCTCGCGAGCTCCGAGTCTCCTCGGACTCACAGGATGCGTTCACAATATGTAGAAAAACAAGAAAGCTCGAGCCGAATAGTTCGGACAATCAAGGAGTTCGCCACCTGACTCCTTCAGAAGGGAATGGCTATCAAAATCTCATGGATTCCAGCACACGCAGGCATCCAGGACAATGAAGAGATACACCAGTTAGCTCGCGCGTCCACTTCCTCTCCGCAACGCTGCTGACGTCCCTTCACATACATATGACCAAGGCTACCTCCCCGCCCATGATCAGGATCCGGCCGGCCACAGCCCTCATTATTATGACCCGGATGAAAGACGGGCCCAAATTAAGGACCAGTACAGAACAACACTCTTGGAGAATCTTCCCCCCGAACGCGGATTCACTTCCCAGGAGGTTTCGGCAGGATGGGCTAAGGTACCCTTTACAAAAGTACGCACGGACACCACTCACGCCTGTCCGCATCGCATTGTGGAGCAATGGAACCAAGTTTGGAGCCTGTTCCAGATGCAACATGGGGAAAAAGAAGAAAAAAGCCGACGCCACATTTTGTGGAAGTACTCTAAATCAAGTGAAGCCAGGACCAAGCACCGACCCCCAGATATCGACCCTCTGGAAGGGTGGACTCACCCTCCTGGATCCGAGGACGACCACAGAAGAGCTCTAACCGGCATCCTGGATTTCATCTATGAGGTAAATTTAGATATCTTCATTTAATCTCTCCCATTTTCGTTCGTGCCAACGTCCAGATTTCGTAGTCACCGACGCCCTCTTCCCAGTTTCCTTTCTTATGGCCAATAAAAGCTTTCTGACTGACTAATGGGACGCTGAGGTCGCGAGCTGCATACTTTATTTTTACTTTTATTTCAGTTTCTTACGCGTTTTATGATCACGCATGGACATGCTGACAGACGCTTGTGTTCGAACGAGGCTCGCGCATAATTAAACGTTACAGCGCCGCTTTTATGGTCGTATCGCGTGGATGGTGCAACCAGCATTACATGGTCGCGTGTTGCGGACGCGCTCGCGCCCCCTGCCCGGGAGCAACGGGCGCGTTCCCTGGACGCCATATTTGTGAGTGCTGTTTAGAGCGCATGCTCAGAACGAGCTGACATCAATGGGCTGCTAAGACCGGCACTCTTGATGGTGCGGAATGCACGTTGCAAAAGAACTGTCGAAGCTCGCCATCAGCACGCGCTCAGCATTCGCGCACACGGCTATGGCCGCCAGTGAATACTCCCTATTCGCGGTGGGAAGATTGTGAAGGGCGCTTTTGTTTTCTCCACTATGGTTAGTGCACGTGCTACCCACGCGGTTGTGTTATAATTTTCGTAGTGCATGAAAGCTCGGCATTGCACGTGCTTGCACCAGCAGAGGAAGTTGAAGTATCTTCACTCTGGGTTGTGATATAATTCCACCAGGCGGCGACACCCAAACTTCTCATCGCGTATAGGTACACGCACTTCTGGATCTTAAACACGCAAGACTATGTGCAGTGATTGGACGCTCCCGCTGCGAGTGCGTCGATGTAGCCGAGGTGCTTTCTCAACTAAGGAAGCCCGTTGCCTCGTCAGAGTAAAGAAGGTTTTGTCTATCTTGTTGGCTCACCTTGAGTTTGGCATTCTTGACTGCTGTCGGAGTGTCTGGGATGGCCAGGGTCAGGATGAACTTGACGCCGAACACGAGGTGCTGGAAATACCAAAAATCGTTCAGAATCAGCTCTTTATACCTGTCTGTCGTTTGCTCTCCTTATCGTTTGTAGCAGGTGACGAGAGTGTGGATTGTATTTGTTCCAGAGTCCTCGGCACTTCAAGCTCTGCCATACAGTCTAAAAGTACAAATTATGTCCTTTGTTTCCTTTTGCCGTGTCTCTCTAAAGGAAATATTGCGAATAGATGCACTTTGTCAGGTGGCGCTATTGGTGATCATTACAGCACAGGCTGCCACCGGATTCATAGGTTTCTGCCGTACTCGTCCAACCACGTTGCACCCCACTTGTCATTCCATCAAGTCATGGAATGTCATTCAAAACCACACTTTAAACTTTGAAAGCAGAGTGGTCAGTTCATTTTGTTTTTCTTTTTGACCAGAAGATGAACATCAGTACCTTCCAGTTCGAGCCTCTGTTGTAGATTCTTTGGTTCCATCATCTGCTCGGAAATCAACCCCCTCATGTTTTACAACGCTCTCTGGCTGCGTGGGCAAACCGTTTCGCTGTCCATCCCCTGAAGTTTAAAACAAGCTGTGGATAGATCCTTCGAAAAATGTGGTTGTGTTGTCTTTGTCCTACATGTTTTTTTTTTTTTTTTTCTAAATATACATTATTTGTTTTTCTTTAAATAAGTGTCTCTATTCGGCTTTTCCACGGAAGGACACGGTACAGCACGCCCTCTGTATCAGTGGTGTAGACAAGATATTTTTTTTTTTTGGCGGAAATTGAAATGGCTAAAATGTAGATTTTTTTTTTTCGGCCCGGGGGGGGGGGGGGGGGGGGGGGTTATTTTGTGTACGCTACTGCTCTATACCCTTCAAGTTTGTCTGGCAAGTTAACGACCGCAACAGCGTGTTTTTTTGTGTTTTTTTTTTTGTTTTTTTGCGCAAACCTGTGATGCATTGTCTCGGTACTTTGTTGTGATGCATTAAGAAAGCGTTAATCAAAAAGCTTTCGTAACTTGTGCAGCTTACCTCGAAGGCAATTATGAAGATGAAGCGTCTGTAGTCGTTCTTGAGGTTCTTGCCGAACGTGGACGTGAACGCGATGAGAAAGGCGTTGCTCACAACGCCGCACGCGTTGATGAAGCCGAACAGGTGGAACCACATCCCTGCAAATACACTTGGAGTCAATTCCAGTGACTCTGTTCAATGAACATATTTGTGGGCATTGTTTATATTTAACCATCGTCTGTCCTCCAAAGTGCGATGACGCCAAGGTTGAATGTTTTAACTCGTATGGTCAGTTTTAACGAGTCTCCGTACAAAACAACTCCTGTGGCTTACCTTACAGGGCAGGACGTACTGCCCAATACTACGATTGACATGAACGGTATTGTAATGTTGCTGCGCGGAATCGATGCTGCCAAGGCCGTTGGACCTGATGGCATTCTCCTGTTATCTTTGTTAAGTGTATCAAACCTGTAGCGCGGTATCTTTTTGTTGTATTCAGTGAATCTTTGAAGACAGGGATGGTTCCAGTGAATTGGAAGATTGCAAACGTCATACATGTGCATAAATCCGGATCTAAAGCCAATGTTGAAAATTATCGTTCTATTTCATTAACATCGATCTCACGCAAACTGTTTGAACACATTATTTATAGTAACCTTTGCGTTTCTTTTGAGGCATTTCTTTTCGCCCTCACAGCACGGTTTCGTAGCTGGTATTCTTGCAATCCACAGTTGGTACAATTTTATCATCGGATATTAAGGTCCTTAAATAGGAGGAAATATGTTGACTACGTGTTCTTAGATTTTCGCAAAGCTTTCGACAGGGTTCCAGATCAGCTATTATTGCGTGAATTGGGTATGCTAAACATAGTCACAAGGCTCTGAACTAGATACAAATTTATTTAGAAGTCGAGTACGTTGTTTTTAAGTGGTAGTACATCACACCAACTCTGGTTACTTTGGGAGTGCCGCAATAAAGTGTAATAGTGCCTTTATTTTTCTTATATAAATAAGTGATGTCACCGAAAATATACAGTCTCATATTAAACTATTCGCCGATGACTGTATAATATACAATGAGATAAACTCGTCAGACGACATTGCCATATTGCAAACCGACATATGAAGCTAAAGTTGAAGCCTGGGCGAGTTGGTATGACATACTTAAAAGGTTAAAACAGCGCAAAAGATGACGGACAGGGTAAAGAAGGACACGGACAGAGCGCTGCAGGTGCCGGCCTCCGAGACAATAACGCGCAAAGGGCAGTCTACTTTATGCATCTTAGCAGTAAAGAATAGTTCAAAACTTAGCTGCTTTTCTGCGTCGATTCTTTGGACAAGCTGATCCAGGTTTAGCCTTCTGCAGAGGTTTTTTTTTTGGTCTCGGATTTAACCTTTTGTAGGGAGATGTCGGTGTAAGACTGGAACACAGACGATATAGCTTCCCGTGCCTTGACTTTATAAAGGTCAAATGGAAGGACCAAGAACCTCCTTCTTTATCCGATACTAACAGAGACGAGTTATCTTTCAAAAAAGACACCACACCACAGCGCTCTGTCCGTGCCCTTCTTTACCCTGTCCGTCGTTTTTTGCGCTGCTTTAACCTTTTAAGTACGACATATGAACTTGGAGTAGTCAGTGGGAAATTACTTAAATCTGAATAAATGTAATAATATAAGTCTCTCTAGAAGTCAGCCACACGTCTTCCGAAGCTGCCTAATCAACGACACCATCCTAAGGACTGTTTCTAAGTATGTTTACTTGGTAGTGCTATTTACAGTCTCCCTAAAATGGCAGTCATTCAGAACGAGCACTAGAGAAAGCTAATATTGTCACGAATTAAGGCGACGAGAAGGCAGACAGTGAACTGAAAAAAAAAAAAAAAAGGTTTAATGGTCGAACTTGTGCCAACCAAAAGTAAGTAACGAAAGAGCGTCGAAGCAGCAGAAAAGCAGGCGGCGATTCGGCGGCGAATCAGAGAGCGCGAGCGAGACTGAGACTGACTCGACAAGGTCGCCGGGCAGCTGCTTATCTACCGTACGTCACTATCTCGAAAGTTCGGCAAGGAAGGTTCGAGCGTCGCGCGCTCGGGGCAAGGATGAACTGGCACTTTCGAGAATAACAAAGCAGAGGGAAAGTTACGTCTGCTGCGAGAATGACCGGGAATTTTCTAGAAGACCGTGACCAAGCGTTGCCTCCTCGGCTCTGCGGGCGGCAATATGGATACCCCATTTTAGAGACAAACCGGGAAAATACACGCATTTTTGTCTCGTTATTATGGACAACTCGCATTATGGACGATTTTTTTTTGAGGGACCGGAGGTGTCCATATTAACGAGACATCACTGCAGAAGGTTTAATTTTATCCGTCAAAACTTTAGATCTGCGTCATGCAACGTTAAAGAAACACTACTTTTATTTAATAAGAACAATCCTAGGTTACGCGTGCGTCGTGTGGGACCCATATCACGACTTTCTTAGAAACAAACTTGAGAAAATTCAGAATCAGGCAGCGCGCTTTGTACTTACAGCTGTGACCCTGATGCTAGTGTTACAGAAACGAAAGCTGTGCTGGGATGAGAAACGCTCGGATGTAGAAGAAAAAAAATTAAAATGTTTTATTGTGCATTTTTCAAGAAAACAGGGGTTGATAAAGTCGCTTATCTTTCAAAGCCATTCTAAGTCTCCCCCCGTTGCGATCGTTTCAAAAAAGTTGCTTTACCCAGTTATTGAACTGACCGTTTTGCCAATTCATCCTCTGCTGAAACCGTGATTGAGTGGAACGACCTTACGGAAGAGATTGTGTCAGTTGGCGATGACGACAAGAGACGTTAACCACCGAAGAGCGCGAGAAGGAAGTCACAGAGATTTTCAGCCTTGCTTAAAGGGGCCATGAAACGAATTTTGGGTTGGGATGAATGATTTAGAATTGGGACTTTACTAATCGCATATCGTTTAGTTGGCCAAAAGAAAGAGGCTAGAAAGTCAAAAGCCAGCTTTTCGGTACGAACATTTGAAAATATAGCGGACTATTTTGTACCTTCTTGCCTTCGAAAGCTCTCCGCCTTTTCACTATGATACATCCGCAGTTCCAAAAGCGCGTCACCGGCGCCAAACTGGCGTCAGCAGAGTCCAGCTCACGCATTGGACACGAGAACTGCGTCACTCGGACGTATGCGCTCGTCAACAATCAATCCGTCGACGAATATTTGGATTCGCATTCGTGGCCAATGAGTACCCAGACGGAACTTATCGTCACTGGGGAATGACAAGCACCATGGTGTGCATAAAAAGCACGGTGAAAGCTAGGAGTCATCGCACCGGTGCCGAAGGAATCTCACGACCACGTGATTTCAGAATTCGCATTTGAGTTGAGGATTAGAGCTAAGGAGGAAGAAGTAGGAAAATCGTTTCATGACCCCTTTAACTGCTCTATTATTTGCCCTTCAAGGACAATAGAAACCTATTTTGTGCTTTTCTTTTCTTGTGCTGTGTCTATTGGTTATTCTAATGACCTCATTGCATAACACGCTTCAACAAAACTTTGAATGGGCCGTAGTAGTTTCTTTATAGAGTCCTTCCTCAAGTGCTGCTCCTAGACGGCCATTGTTTCGATCGGACATTACACTGAACTCTATGACAATTGCTGGCTCGCGTTTGCCCGCTCCGCGAATGAGGCCACTGGCGGCCATCTTTTTGGTAGAGTTATATTACCTCTAGCCAAGGTACAGCTGGTCCATCCATGGCAGACAGCGTTGTGGCAGTTGCCATCAAAAATAGCGTGGGTGATATTTCGTGCTTGATTGAAATTGTTGACGAAATATATTTTTGAAACCCGTCGTGAACGGTAGCCTGAGCTTTGAGGACCCGGTGAAAGTTTCACGAAATCGCAGCACCGGGGAAAAGCAGCATAACACGCATCGAAACAAGCATCGAAAAAAAGACGGACACAAGAGAGAGAAAAAAACACGAGCGCTCGTGTTTGTTTCTCTCTCTTGTGTCCGTCTTTTTTTGCGCAAAACCATGTATCCAAACGTTCACCAACTCGCCCAACGACAAGCATCGAAAGTAGACGCCGGTGTCTGCTTTCGATGCTATAGCTACGCTGCTTTCTCCCGGTGCTGCGCTTTCGTAGAACTTTCGCCGGGTCCTCAAAGATGAGGCTACCGTTCACGACGGGCTTCAAGAATCTGCTTCGTCAAACAACTTCAATCAAGCACGGAATATCATCCACGGTACAGTGTACCAGATCCACGGCTATATTATGGCAGTCTGCCGCCATTGCGCTGTCCGCCATATTACTATGACCGGCTAGAGATAATATAACTCTACCAAAAAGATGGCCGACCGTGGCCACATTCCCGTCCATAGGCGGAGCTGGTCAAACGCGATCCAGCAAATAGACATAGAGATCAGAGATACAATAGACAGGAGTGCTGCCTCAGCGTTCAGCGTGAACTCAGGTAGTCGCACGCTCCGCGCAGGACACGATGCCCCGAAAGTATAGGGGCCGCAAGTGTTGCTTGATGGCCTTTTGAGAAAGGTGTATTGACTTCAAAGAAAATAATGACACGTGAAGCGATTTAAGACACCGACGTCTGAAGAAAAGCTCTGCGATAGATTTGCTGTAAGACGCTCGTAACGCGTACCGATGTCGTCATCCCTGAAGGCCACTGGTCTTCTGTTGAGCCATAGCAGACGATTGGCGTCGATGCGGAGATCGAACATGTTGTACAGCAGCGCCAGCAGGGGTGCCAGCGGAAAGGAAGCCGCGAATAACTGCGAGAAAACGTCCCACAATTAGAGTTTTCGCGAGTGATAATTTCTCTCTATACAACTCGTTTGTTTCAACACGAGAAAAGCATCGCTGTCTGGGAACCGATGCAGCTTTTTTTCAGGAGACTACTGTGCATGCGCGATCGCTTCCTTCCCAGTGGCGGAGGCTCACATCAGCTTCGGAGGAGAAGAGTCGATGCACGTTCTGAGTCTGAACGAGCAGCTGGCAACTTGTGTCGGCTGTTCGCCAAGCACCAGCAAGAAAGTTCCTCCAATGTTAGTTCGTGCGCCCGCCACTAGGTGCCGCCTTTATGTAAAAAAAAATAAAAAAAAGCCCATTGGTACACGCTCCGGTTTGGAGGTATGACCGTACCTCCCGAGCGGTGCATGCGCAACGTTACATTTCAAATGTTTAATGGGTAACTACAGTCTTGGAAAAAACCAACTAGAAAATGCAAGCTCGGTCTAGATTATCTGTATGGGCTGTGCCTCTCTGTAGCTGGTACCAGGTGCTTATGTCAGGGTGCTAAAACATAAATGTTATCTTGTATGGGAGAAAAACTGACTTCCACAGGAATTTCGATGATTATACTTCGTGTCACATTAAGTTTAGACGAAGCCGACGCTACGAGCTGATGGGACCAATTAAACAGCGTCAAATCATGGTGTATGTTTCTGTACGTGTTGCACCATCGCCGAACCAATCATGAGCAGAAAAGGCCCAATGACTTCCGCTTTTGACGCTGCTTCAGTGGGCCTATTAGCTCGTAGCGTCGTCTGCGTCTGGACTTCAGCTGAAACGAAGTATAAATTGTTACGCATTATGCGTGCGTCATCTAGGCCGGGGGTCTCCAAGCCACGCCTCCGGGACAAATCCGACCGGCCCGTGGCTGGCCGCGGTCCTTCCAGTGAAGCCCGGCCCGTGGTCCGCTTCCCGCAGGCCCGCTGCTATTGGCGCAGAAATGAGCGCGCCTAAAGTATGCGGTGCCACAACGTGCACCAACCGTGTAAACGAAAATACCAGAAGAAAACAAAAGAAAACAGAGAGAAAAAACGAGAGCAAACTGTTTATTGTAATGCGTGTCCTCTGGTCATATTATTCAATAGACATTGTCATCGCTAGCATCGTCATTCTTAGTCCCTTGTCTCATATATGCGTAACTACGCGTGTTCAAACCCCTTTGCGTTGCCGTTTCCGTTTCCATGTTTACTGTGCTTAGTGTCCTGTGCCGCTATCTCAAGGGCCCTAATCTACATGGCGGGACCAAGGGACCGGCACATCGCCGTCTGCTGCGATTGGTCACCGGTGCACAGCTGGCCAATCGCTGCCGGCGGCGATATGAAAGTATTGCATATTGTCAGAATCAGTGATGTCATTCTCATCAGTATTCTTCCCTTTTGTGACATTCCAAATTTTCAGTAAGCATTGGTTATAGATGCCTGGTGAGTTTTGTGGGTCCCAATTAGTGTGTATGATACTTAGCTAAATATTGTAGTTGATTATAAATTAAATGTATTCATTCACGTTATATTCTTTTTTCTTGATTGCGACTCTAACTTTCAAATTTGTATTTATATGCGTATTCAGGAGTATTTTTTTCTTTACGTGAAACGTTCTTTGGCTGGTTACGGATTTCGTGAAGCTGCATTTCGTGAAGCCATGGCCTGTGACGTCCGATAATGCAACACTGCGCGCGTTGCATTATGGGACCTACACACAAATTCAGTTTCCCCGCTAAATTTAGCAGGAAAATAAACGTCACGCGACCTGCACACCAATTCTCTTTCCTCCCTAAATTCAACGGGAAAATTGACGTCACGTGACCTGATTTCACGTGATCTTAGAATGTTTACATATGCAACTCATTGCCTAGCAATTTTCCATACAATTTCCCCCATTTATATTTACTAATTTATTTTGCGGCCTTCGAGACAGCGAAAAATCCCTGATTCGGCCCCTTGGCCACAAAGTTTGCAGACCCCCAATCTATAACAGGCCATCGATACATAGTGTCTAAATTACGAAGGAACTACGCTGGGTGGAATGGCCGTGATTCTGGACCTCGCAGCGGTTATCCCGGACGTGGTGAGCTACGTAACTCGTGTCACCTTACTATGGACCGTAGAACACGCCTTAGTGCGTTAGCGAAGCCAGTCCAGTGCTGCGTGAGAGTCACGTGACTTTCGGGAGCGGTGCGAATGGTCAGGTGATACGCTCAGAGCGCTGGGTTGGCTGGGTTGGCTCGTCGCGTTTGCTGCGCTCCATCGTAAGGTGAAATGGAGAGTAGTTCGTTTATCGCCTCTTACGGACCGTAGTAAAAGAAGTCATGGCTCCTCGCGGAGTTTTACAGATTTCTCCCTTCATGTAGGCAATTAAGATATATGTAGGTACTCTTTAGATTAGATATATGTTGTCTTGTCAAGACGTAGATCCTTCAAACGCCAAAAGCATTACAGCCTTCGTGTTAGAAAGTCGGCATTTACAGGTTAAGAAAAGTTTTCGAGGGAAAGAAGGTCAGGAGAGGAGGAAGCAGACGGAATGCTGAAAGAAGAGGGGGAAACCTCGTCCTGTCTTCAGCATTCCGTCTGCTTCCTCCTCCCCTACTAGAAAACTTTTCGTAACCACGCGCCAGAAATGTAAATTGTGCGAAGGACAAAACACGACGCCTCGGGTCGTGGTGGCTGGTCCCTCGCGTTTGTCTTTGTGCGTACGCGGATATTTTCTGCGAACATTAATCAGGGCGCCCCCCGCGCGAATAACGCCCGAGTCTTTATTCCTCGTCAAGGCTCCTTGGCTATGCGGACGTTGCGACTCTATACACACAGTTCGATGTGAAGAATCACGCGGCGCCCGGTAGAATGCGGTCGATGTGTTTTGTAACCATGGCGATGCGTGCGACATTGATTGCGAGGGGACGGCGCCCGCGTCTCTCAAACACGATGAGTATACATACCCGGTGCCTTTTCGCGGCACTTTAACGCTGAAATTGTCGGCTGAGTTTTCGCGACAAGCCTCCGAGCGATTGTCGCGCAGGTCCGTTGAATGTAGTTCAGTGATACAATATCTATGTACATATAGACATCATCATCATCATCATCATCATGTCTCTTTATACCAGATATATACCTGGTATCTTAGCGGAAACTGACAAAATTCCTAAAATGAGTGTATTTGAGGTAAAAATATAATTTTCTGGGGACCGGATTACCCGTAATGGCAGACGTCAGAAAATGCGCGACACTTCCTAATTAGTTAGCTAATTAATTAAAAATGACTAATTAATTTTTTAGTTAGTGAAAATAGACATATGGTTTCGATTAGAAACTTGCTGAGCGTCATCGAAATCCACTAAATCAATTCACAGAGACTTTGAGCGCGTGAGAAGCGTAGTAGTGCGCTAAAGTTACCACTCGGGGAGCAGGTGCAAGGCTAGCGGTTGCGATAAGGTGCCCGCGCGATTTTTCGTATCTTTTCAGAGCCCCAGCCTTGTACCTGCTTCACGAGTGGTTGGTAACTTTAGCGCAGTCTTCCTACCTGCTCAAAGTCTTTCTGAAAAATATTGATTTAGTGGTTTTCGATGACGCTCAGCAAGTTTTTGATTGGAACCATGTCTATTTTCACTAACTAAAAATATAATTAATCGCTTTAATTAATTAGTGGGCTAATTAGTAAGTATCGCGCATTTTCTGATGTCCGCCACCACGAGTATTGCGGTCCCGAGAAAATTATATTTTTACCTGGAGGAATACACTAATTAAAAAAAAAAAGTGTCGTCAGTTTTCGTTGACACACTCGGTTACATGTCTTTTTTAAGCTTTACAGCTATGTTTCAGAAAAGCCGTGAAAGTTACACTTATTCGGTTTGTCCGAGTGAGTTATACGACGGGTGGTACATTATGTGGGTGGATAATGTTTGCAATAAGTCCGCTAATTAATGAAAATTCGTTCATTAACTTTTTTAATTCGTGAAAATAGGCATATGGTTCCAATTAGAAGCTTAGAGAGCGTCCTCAAAGACCACTAAATCAACTTTTGTTCGAAAGACTTGAAGCTCGCGGGAAACTCGGGGGTGCACCAAAGTTACCACTCGTGAAGCAGGCGCAAAGATGGCAGTGGCGGAATGCGACGATAAAGCCGGGAACACATTTGCGAAAAAAAGCCGAATTTTGTGCAAAAACCGCACACGAAAGTCGCACGGCAGCTAGGCTCCTCCCCTTTTCCGAAAATCGGGAGCGGTTCGACAGATCTGCAGCGCCAGATATTTTCGCACGGCGCCTCCGAATTCGGGGCGGAGGAGCTCGGTGAGCGAAAGCCCGGAACAGGACGGAACGAAACGATACGATCGGCTCGCAACATGGCGGCTCACGCAGCTTCGGAAGCAGCGCAGGCAAGATCGTATGCCATCCCTGCGTTCTCATCTCAACCTTCGGAGGAAACCATTTCAGTCTCTTTCTCAAAGGGTGGTGGTACAAAGGCTCGCGTGGCATTCAATGAGGTTTTAATAGCTGATGTATTTAAGAGGTGCGAAATATGGGACACCAGTTCGCCAGACTACCGCACAGCCTCCTGAAGTCGGAGCACAAAACCGCAGTGCATTGCGATTCCCGCGCCGCGCATTCCACCTCATGTGGCTCGTCTTCCGGAAATCGCAAGCTACGATTTTCGCAGCCTCCGATTTCTCTCCGATTTTCGGTTCGTTTTTTCGCAAATGTGTTCCCGGCTTAATCTAATCATCATCCGCGTTTTGACTCATGACCAATCAGACATGCGTCTTAACGCATGTCTGATTGGTTCCATCAGCTCGTGACGTCGGCTGCGTCTGGACATAGAGTTAAACGAAGACCGGGACAGATATTTTTTGTTCGGTTCACTATACTCTACTCTGTGGCATAGCACTGCACAGTGCGGATAATTTTAATACGGCCTGTAGTAAGACTGTTGGCAAAATGTTATCCTAACCGCTAAAGAAGTTTCGCGTACTTGCCGCAGCGTGCCGTAATTCGTGAATAAATATTAATTTGTATATTTCGCGCGCCAAATTTTGCCCTAAATGTTTGGCCAAGATATATCGAGTAAAAAAAATCGGTGAAAATATAATTGAGGTATCGTATTAATGACTCCACTCCTCGTCACCTCAAAAACAAAACATGTTTTAAGCATAGCTCCTGCGCTGCACGAAGTCGTTCTTATAAAGGTTGGCTGTCAAAAGTAGAAAAAACAACAACATTATTTTGCATTTGGGATTCATACGTTTTGATAAAATTCAAAATAGCTAATCTTAAATGCACATTCAAGTATCTTATACTTTACCACATGGAGGGAGGCATTAGTAAATCCGGGGTCACACTGCTCACACATTTTGTTTGCAGACTGTGTGCTCACACACACAGTCTGCAAACACGAGTCCCCGCAATATGCGTGATTCGAATGCCGCGTGCCAAGTTTTCTCTCTGAACTCATTGTCATGCGGCATTCGAAGCACGGACATCACGGTGACTCGCGTTCGTATCTGTATGCAGACTGTCTTTAGTATGATGTATAAGCAGTATGACACACTGCGCATACTTCGTACAAAAGACAGTCTGCAAACACGAGTCACCAGATTGTCCGTGGTTCGAATGCCGCGTGCAAAGGTTTCCTTTGAAACCCATTGCCATGCGGCATTCGAAGCACGAATCTTATAGTAACTCGCGTTCGAATCTGAGTGGAGATTTTTTTTTGTATGACGTATAAGCAATGTGGCACACTGTTCATACATAACACAAAAGACAGTCCGCAAACACGAATAACCGCAATATCCGTGATTGGAATGCCCCGTGCCAAGTTTTCTTCTTGAACTTACTGTCATGCGGTATTCGAAGCACGGATCTCGTGGTGACTCGCGTTCGAATCTGTATGCTGCAGGCTAGTTTGTATTAGGTATAAGCAATGTGACCACGGCTTAAAGGGGTCATGAAACGATTTTCCTACTTCTTCCTCCTTAGCTTTAATCCTCAACTCAAATGCGAATTGTGAAATCACGTGGTCGTGACATTCCTTCGGCACCGGTGCGATGACTCCTAGCTTCCACCGTGCTTTTTATGCACACCATAGAACTTGTCATTCCCCAGTGACGATAAGTTCCGTCAGGGCACTCATTGGCCACGAACGCGAATCCAAATATTCGTCAACGAATTGATTGTTGACGAGCGCATACGTCCGAGTGACGCAGTTCTCGTGTCCAATGCGTGAGCTGGGCTCTGCTGACATCAGTTTGGCGCCGGTGACGCGCTTTTGGAACCGCGGATGTATCATAGTGAAAAGGCGGAGAGCTTTCGAAGGCAAGAAGGTACAAAATAGTCCGCTATATTTTCAAATGTTCGTACCGAAAAGCTGGCTTTTGACTTTCTAGCCTCTTTCTTTTGGCCAACAAAACGATATGCGATTAGTAAAGTCTCAATTTAAACTCATTCATTCCAACCCAAAATTCGTTTCATGGGCCCTTTAAGGCTCCGTGAGGAGCCCAAGATAGGATTTTCGCGTCCTCAATGTAAAGCAGCCTTGATGACAACTCAGTGCCACGTTACAGCGACGTTATCCCAAAGGTGCTCTAAATGCAAAACGTTTATGAGTGAATTTCAATTCAATTCAAATGATTTATTTTTGTCATAAATGGAGAGGGCAGGGAGAGAAAAAAACAACTTAGTCGTTGTTTGACAATGCCTCTGCCTCCCCCAAAGACCACAACAACATCAGATCAGGAAAAATACGGTAACACACAGCTGTACAGAATTACAGATATAAAATATAAGAAAACGAATTAGCTCACAAAACACTTACTTATATGTTCAATTTTGCATGCAAGTATTTTCAACACTGACAGATCTCTAGATAAATAGCCTGTGTATATTTTTGCTAGTTGAACAAACGACATCTATGTATTTTTGTGCAAAACTTTATCCTCGTTTTATCTATGTTCAGTTTGTCTAAACGATTTAAAAGATAAGGGAGCCTCTATCTTAGCATTTGAATTCCGAAGTTTGTTCTAGAGAGCGGCATATCAATTTTTCTACACAGCGGGTTTTATGAACCACTTCTCCTCAATCAAGGTTGGCTATTGTTGAATAAATATTTTCATTTGTTCTTCAGGAATTGTTTTTTTAAGGGAAATTTGGTAGTTGTGGTAACTTCGAATTTGTACTATATTAAATTTATAAACACTGGCTTAGAGTGACTGTCGCAGAAGCATGGCATATAATACGAATTACATTGTTTTGGCAGGCTTTGAATTTGTTTGAGATTTGTGTACGTCGTGCTTCCCTAAACTAAAAAAAAACGAAACAGTAGTTGTACTGGAAATAAAAAAAAAAAAAAAAGAATCATAGATGAGCAGCAAAACCGAGATGGGGAGTTATATCATAATATTTGTAAATTATACCAACAAGCATTCTTTGTTTTTCTTTGTTGTTTTTTAGATAAATGCTGCACCGTTTTCTCCCTAAAAATATTCGTAATAAAGTCTATACCAATAATGCTTACCGTTTGTAATATATTCATTTTACTTTCACCCAAAGCAATATTGAGCGCGTGGAAACTATTTGTGTTATGTGCTTTAAATAAAACTGGCCTCGTTTTGCTCGCATTTAGTTGCAATCAATTTGCTTCCGTCCAAGCATTCAGCTTAGCAAAAATTTATTTTTGCTTTCTATAATTTGGTTGGTGTCATTCCCTGAAAACGAAGACCCCCGTATCGCATGCGCAAATAATAAACCATAAGTCATCATCAATGTTTACAACGTCGTGTACGTACATATGCAAAATGAAAGGTCCCAGTATACTACCTTGATGTACACCTGCCTTTTTTGGCCTCAAGTCGGATAGCTTCCTATCTATTTCTACACATCGGTGAACGTCACAAAGATAGCTTTTGAACAATCTCATGGCAACACCACAAATACCCCAAAGGTGTAGCTTTCGGAGCAACGTTTCGTGACTGGGGCGCTCAAAGGCCTTCGAGAAATCAATAAATACACCCAGTGTATTGGGTGTCACCCTTGTGACGTCACGTTACACTGTTGACGACAGATGACACCATGACGTTACATTGTGACGTTACGTGACGTGAGGCTGTGATGGCCTCCTTACTATGCACCCGCAAAGGGGGGGGGGGGGGGGGGGGGGGAGCGATGGTGAATGTTTTGCATAGAGCGTTTTTTTTAGGAAATGCCAGAGAGATACAACCTTTTTAATACGCTCCATGAGAGAAAAAACGAGTATAGGGCTGGAGACTACGGGTGAGAGAGCTCACCATGAGGTAGCCGTACTGGATGATCTTTTCGGCGAACTCGTCCCTCCTAAACTCGGCGTCCTCTTGCTTGTACAGTTCCCGGAGGAGGTGGTGTTGATCGGACACTTTCTCGTCGGACACCCTGTACATGATGCCCCATTTGCGGAGCACCTTCTTGATGAGCCTGGAAGCAGAGGCCGACGATATTATCGTTAGGACATCGGCAAAGTAAAAGGTTTCCAAAGCAAGGAAAGTCCTGAAAGGCGCCCTCTAACGCCTTTGATGTCCACTTTGTTTCACAGACCTCTCGAAGCCGACTTTTAAAGGGGTTAAGAGATGAAAATTAAACGGGTAGATTATTTTTGAAATGGAATGCTCATAGGAGTATATACACCGAGTTTCGCGATTTTTAGGGCTCTAGTAATTCCGACAATCAATTTGCGAATTTTTGTCATTTTCATCTGTCGACCAGGCAACACTGACCAAGTTAGTCCGAAGCTCCACCACAACAAGAACTCGGCTAGACTTGGCTAAAAACCAGACTAGGCAGGCCTTTTTTTTTTCTTTTTGGCAGGCCATCGCCGGAACTTCCGGCGAGCGGCCACCCGTTACAAAGGGACGCCACTAAATCCAAATCCAAATCCAAAATTATGGTGCCCATAAATTACATTATCATTAACGATCTCTCATCTAGGCATCCCCGTGATCGCCCAAGCTGTCCTCGCCACGGTACATTCAAATCCAAGCTCTCACGCAACTCGGCTACTCCTACGCTACTCTCGCTCTAACCCCTGGTTCTATTGACCTTCCACCTTGTATGCACCTGCGACATTGTCACGGACGACGGCGACTACGGCGAGTTTGTCCGTGACTATCTCGTCGTCGCTGTTGCTGGTCGCTAGCGGGTTGCAGTCAAAATGACAGCTTCCAACATTCCTTGGTAAGAATGGCTCTCATCGCTGCTGTGATAAATGTTGAAGACTTCGACGAAGCGAGCGATGCCGTAGACCGACGTAATCGTCACGAGCCGCATGCTCGAAACGCGGAGTGTAAACAAGGAAGCTGAAGCTCGAGACGCCCAAAGAGTCGTCTGAGTGCGTGCAAGAGGACGCTGCGCTTTGAGCAGCTGATGTCACCAACCCAACATCCACGGCGGCCTTTTCGAATGGGCGGATTCAAGGGTTCCGCATATAATTTGATTTATCCACGAGTCTATCGCGCCATATTCAAAATAAATTTAGCAGGAATATAAGAACATACGAAAAATCCTAGCAGTGTAGTTATCTCATATTTTATTTTTGCCGTGTCCGAACCCCTTTTCATTCCGGTTAACACAAGTGGAGGTTTTAATCATGATGCTTAAAACCTCATATTCTGAAGGAAACTTGAAATTATATTAGAAGAAACAGAAAAAAGGTGACGGACAAACGCCTCACTGAGACGTTTGTCTGTCACCTTCGGTTTCTTCTAATATGTTTTAAGTTTTCTTCCCAGTCTCAGGTTTTAAGCATCATGAGGAATACGCACCACCTTGCCTGTTGACCATTTCTCTCACTTGGAAATGTTAGTAGATATAGCCGATATGGAACCCTTTGGAGCTGTGCATTCACGTGTGGCATAAAATCAGCGGCGTCGGAAGTTTTTACGAGAAGGGAGGGGGGGGGGGGGGGTACATCCCTTAGCAAAAACTAAGACGTTTGAAATATACCACACTCTAATTTGAGTGTATTTGAAGTACAATTCATTATTGTAAGTACACAATAAGTAGACCGAAAATATATACTTCTTTTTTTTCTCACTTAGTACTAAAATATATTTCTGAAAATCTTTTAAAAATTCCTTTTTTTAAACTATATTTGAAGTTCCCTTTATGCATTCTGAAATATGTAAATACTAAATTTGTAGGCCCAAAATACCTTTCAGGTAGATTTTTTAAAATATGTATTTTTTTCGTGCAAAATATACTCTAACCCTAATAAAAATGCAGCGATGACAAATATGTGCAGAATACTCTTAAAGTACCTGGAAATCGTAAATAGTGCTGTGTTATGCTCTAAGTATCTTTTGAGTGCAATACTTTGGTAGTCTGACTTGAACTACCAAAGTATTGAAAAGCTTGCCTATCAGAAGTTCACTTCAAGCAGATTTGGAGTACACTGAACTGCCTAAGCACAACATTTGATTAGTTTGTCAATTGAGTCCTGCTGCATCGCACTGATAAATCAGCCCAGTTTATGTTATTGTTTCCTTTTTTCTATCAAGAACAGACCTGATAAGTTTCTTGCGCACCAATCACACACGGGGTTCGGGAACTGCAACCACAACACTTGCCGATACTGGAAAGCTTCAGCAAGTGCTGTGAGCAGATATGTTTGGCGTGTAATTGTGTTAGCCCAATGTTAGTTCACTGAATGCGTATACTGACCATTGTACGTGATGTGAGCAGTGACTTTAATATAGTGACGTTAATGACCATATTAAATAGTCAACTAGTAAAGAAAAGCAAAATAACTATTTTAAAGTGAAGAAACTAGCTTCACTCGCTTCATCTTTTCATCCTGGGTGGTGCTACGCAGAGAAGCAATACATTTTTTTCTAGGAGCCGCTTTGATGGATATTGTTTTAGCGACTGCGCCGAATCATTATTAGCTGTATTAATGCTTGTAGTAAGAGATATCGTCCACGAACTTCAAAACACTGTGTCCCCTTTGACAGACTCCCGAGGAGAATATCGAATGCTTGGAACCTTACTAAGTGCAGAGCTGGTCACCGGCCAAATGATTACCTTCAATATGTAGGCTATATAAGGCTCTAGAGCAGTCAACTTGACTGTCATTCAGGTGTTCAGTGCGTCATGGTGTTTGTGTTCATTTCTAATAGTTATTTGTGGAATATATTTAGTAGTGCCTTCAAATACCGGAAGGACACATTTACTAACAAAATCCCCCCAAAAATGTGTAGCTGTTCTTTAGCGCACAAATGGCATCTTGAGGGGCAAGAAATTATGTTTTTGGTATATTTAAATTTTTTTCTGATTAATATTTGTGATATATTTGGAATACCTTTCGCACGTATTTCGAATGGGGACAAAATAATACAGAATGAATACATAATGAATATGCGTATTCAATATATTTCAAGTTCGTTTCAAGTACGGCCTCTTTTTGATAAGGGATGAGGCGATTTCCCCCTTCCCCCCTCCTCCCTGTTCCCACGCAACTGCACAAAATTAATCTTTTGTATTCCCTTATGTAGTGTTGACCCACAGGCAATATTTCTGTCAGTCTCAACGGCTCTCAGATCAGAACATAGAAGGCGCCGTGTAGCGACACAGCGTCGGCATATGCCGTGAAAGTTGCTGCGCGCGCGTACGTTTTCAGTTTGGACGTCAACCACGCAAACAGCACGACCTTCTTTCTTGCCTTCTTGCTGTCGTCTCTTCATTTTTTTTTCGGGATATTGGGTCTCGATAACACCAGTGGAGGTCCTGACGATAGCCAGCAGAGCGTGTGAGTGGCTGTCTGCACCAACGTGATGAGCACGCTCTGTGCGTCTGTGCGAGGACGTAAGCGGAGGGAAGCTTTCCCTGCGGCAAGAAAAAGTACGAACGCGGACCGGAGTACGGCATATGCCTTCAATTTAGAAAGCACATCAACTGCCGTGAAGAAACACGCCATCTGCCGTGCCCTGTTTGGACACCCCTTCATGCACCTCCGTTCTGCAAGTCTCCACGACGTCGTGAGTGCTCCGTCTGAGCATAACTTGGCAAACGGCAAAAGCTAAGGTGCCAGCGAGCCAATCGGAGCATCGAGGCGAGGCACGTGACAGAGTACCGTCGTATAGAACGTACACCTCCTCCGGACGTCTGCCGCATGTTTCATCTCGTCGTTTTGATGGGCTCACGGGAGGAAGGCGGCATAGGAACCGTGCGGATCTAATTCAAGCCCCGACCAGGGCGCCCCTAGCGGCAAACGGGTCCGTTGCATCGGGCATCTTCTGCCAGTCGCTGCGTTGGTTGTGCGTTGTATTAGGTTAGCGCTGTAATTTCTGAGATGGCTATTCCGTACCAAGAAAGCCGCAACAATTGCTGCGTGGTCGGCAAGATCGCGCACGGCACGAAGTACTACATCGTCCCTTCGAAGCCGTACGAGGCGGAGTACTGCGCGACCTGGGTACGACTTGTGCGTCCATACAGGTTAGTGCATGGTGTTTCTTAACTTCCAGTTCGCGCTTTGTTTAAGCTGCTGACGAATATTACAATTAACTTTTTTTTCTCTTCAAGCGACGATGGAACAGCATCGACACCGACGGCAAACTCTAAAGTATGCAGCAAATACTTCACCGGAATCGAGAAGCGGAATGAGGCCGCCCTCCTAAGCCTACCGATGGATGTTTCCATCTGCCTACAGGAAGATAGTAAAGAAAATCGCGGAACGGCGCGAAAAAAAAAAATCGCCCAGTTATTGTCAAGCTGATTCAGAAATAAACGTACACAATTACCGCAGTACTCAACGCCAACAAAATTTTTTTGCGGGCGCGCTTAGTTTTGTTTGCAGAGTACGGCGCTCCGTGACATCCACTTGTTCGTCGAAACGGACCTCCTTCACGTCGCACCCGCGACCAGATTCATGAAACAGTTTTCTCTTCGTCATATTGGCACCACGGAAGAAGCTTTCTGGATTCGTAACCGCGCCTTAAACCCCGTCGTAATCACCCCGGGAACACTGTCCGCTGTGCTGCTAATCGCCACTGTTTCCCCCCGATGATTCTGCACCGGCTACCGAAGAAGCTTTCCGGATTCATAGTCGCCGACTGTCCTCTGTGCTGTTCGTTGCTATTACTTCGCGATGATTCTGAGCCGGCGGAGCCGGCGGCACCGGCTTCCAAGGAACTTTCCAAACTCGTAACTGCCTTAAATTCCGTCGTAATCACGACGGGGACACTCTCCGCCGTGCTGTTCGTCGCCATTGCTGCCCGATGCTCCTGCGGCGGCTGCCGCCAGGTCGCGGCGAACAACAGGCGACCGCCGCGACACGGCCGGCTTGCTCGCTTCCTATAGGGTTCGCCCGTTGCAAAGTTAGGCTTAAACAGAGTGTGGGATGTTCATTGGAGGTAACCATCATTAGGAAAGGGTGGCCTTCATGTTTGAGTGTGGTTGGTGCTCAGCTAAATAATGCGGAATGCAGCTTCTCACGGCCAGACGACGTCGTAGCAGAACTTGGGAAAGGGCTTGACGATCATCAAGATGAGCAGTTGGAGGGAGAGCATGGACATGCAGGTGTCCCTACCAGGATGGCCGCATCTGTCCTTGAACTGGTCGCCGAGCCCGAACAGTCCGGACCGGCCCTGCGTCAGGTAATAGGGAGCCTATAATGCATCGCTTTAGTACAGAGTGTTAGCAGATCGTTCCGATGACTTCGATAACGATACCCGGTACTCCGCCGCCGCCTTTGCGCATACATCGTATCGTCATCGGGTATTGTTATCGACGGTATCGGAATGATCTATACTAAATCTTGTATAACGATACCCGATATCCCGCCAGCCCTTTTCGCACATACGTCGCACGGTCGTCGGGTATTGTTATCGGAGGTATCGGAATGATCTACGAAAACTAGGTTAAGAACAGTAGGACAAACTCCCCCCACAAGGTCCTTCACTCTTTCTATTTTAGCAGGTAGGAGAGGAGGCGTGTGAAGAGGAGGAACCTGCCGATCATGGCGAGTATAGAGATTTGCGGGAGGAGCTTTATCTTGCCATTCTTGAACCGCAGCAAGCTATAGACCGTTTCAATAATCGCCATCTGGGAGCTGCCATCTTTGTAAACCGGTTTGTGCAACGTGTTCCGAGCAGTAACGGTTTTCCGTATATATGCGCGCGCAGCCCGGACATTTTCGACTTGGCGATAAGCGCTGGAGAAATGTATAGGAGATGAAAACCCACCTCCCTGAAAAAGGCAGTGTAAAATAACGAAGCGTAGGTGTTGGTGAATTGGAAGGCGAAGAGCTTGATGACCAGAGCGTCGTTGTACATGCTCCGCGTTCGGTGGTTCTCTGCGCAGAAGGAACATCGACGCGTTGGTTGAGAGACACACATGGCCGTCATAGCAGACGGCGTTCACTGATGATAGGCTCACAGAGATTGTATACAGTAGCTTACCCCATTCGGTCAGTCTCACAGCGGCGTAAGAGTAAATCTAAAAGGCAGTTGAAAAAAAGAAAACGAAAAAAAGAAAACAGGATTAGTTGCACAAAATGACAGCTTCCCAATCAGAGTGCACACGATTTGAACTCAAGGCTTCTCAACATTTTTTTTTTTTTTTTTTTTTGGTTTTCGTCCATTACTTCTCGGCATTAGAATGGTATTGCGGTTACGGCCCTGCGATTCCGCTCTAAACGGCGGCTCTGCGGTAAAACTCTTATTGCGACATTACGTCCTCGCGTGTGCTAAATCCGCGGATCGTCGTCGACAACGCACGAGTCATGTGCAGTAGATCGTATAAACATGCCGCGGGAAAACTTCGCGTCATTAAAACATCGCCACAGCTGACACTCCGACATATATATTCGGAGTGCAAGTTGGTCTGCTTCTGGAGCAGGGGTTGCACTGACGTCAAAACACCGAGTTCTGATTGGTTCTGAATGAAGAATTGTGGGTAGACCTCAACGGTGGCTACCTTGAGAAGGTCTACCCACTATAGACCTTTCCGTCGCTTATCGCCCAGGCGACAAAATGTCGAGTCACTAGACTGTTACGCAGGCGCGGCGTACTATTTTTTTTCGCAAGAGGCGCTATTGCGCGTGCTCAGAAGGCGTTTAACAGTCCAGTAAGAAAAGATGGCAGCTCGCAGAAGGCGTTTGTTGGAAAGGTCTATACTTCCAATCGGAGCTCGGTGTTCGTACGTCACCGCAACCCCTGCTCAAGAAGCAGGCGAACTTGCGCTCCGCGTAGCGCACTGATTTCCGTCTAAGTAAAGAGAAATAATTTAAACAATGACGTCATAGCGAGCGTTTGGCCAATCACCAGTTGCGACCACAGGTAGGCTTTCTTGCTCGCCCACGTCGCTAATAGTAGTAGAGTCGCCGACAACTAAAAAAAAAGACACCACGGTCCTGGGCTTTCTTTTTTTTTTTTTATCTCCGTGATTGGTTTAGCCGGTGATAGGAAACCCTCAAAAGTTACGAGCACCGTGACGATGCACTTTTAGCACTACATGATTGGCTCTGTCGGATCATAGCAATCGGCTGCGGTCGGACCTATAGAGTGAAGCGCAGTGTATATAGGGTGTTTGAATTGCCGAAGCTTGATCTAAAATGGGACGTAAAGATGGTCGCCTGGATGTAGCAATCTAGACCTTTCGTCAAAGGTGTATTGCACAGGTGGGTTTTACCTTGTAAAATTGCACGGCGTAGCTCCCTTTCTGTAAAAAGTTAGGGCCGAAAACTTGTCAGGGCCAACGGCCACGCGGACGACCGAATCGAGCGGTGGGGCGCGTCGGGAACAGCTGCGGAAGGTGCAGCCGATCAGCGAAAGCAAGCAGACGACACGCGGACGAAATCCGTCGGCAGCAAGAGTGCCGTCATTATGCAACCGCGTTTATTTTATTATTTTTTAATGCGTTGGCATTTGTATTTACATGACAGTTTAAAGGAAGTCGTTACAAGCAGGTAGTGCCATATGTCAATGCGTGCTCTAAACGCACCCCGCCACTCGACTCTGTCGTCTGCGTTGCCGTTTGCCGTTAATCCTGGCAAGTGCTTTTGCTTTATTTTTTTTTAAGAAAGGGAGCTACGGCCTTGTAGTTTTACAAGGTAAAACCCACCTGTGAAATACACTTTGGACGAAACGTTTAGATCGCTACATGCAGGAGCCGATTTTTACCGCCCAATTTAGGTCGAGCCTCGGCATTTCAGACACCCTATACTTGCTCTCAGTTAAGTTTATTACGTTCTAATTCAATCTTTTATTCGAAATAAAAAAACTCGCTTGTGGTGTGTGGCGTCGTCGACCTCGATCGAAAGAAGCTGGCGTACCTTTCCGAGGACCATGATGGAGAGGGTGTTGAGGATGGGTGCGACGATGGATCCGTGCATGACCTCGCAGGTGGTTTCGCCGTTGCAGTACGCGTTGTACATGTACACCTGGTACAGTGTAACTGCCAGCACGCTGATAAGTACCACGATAGACTGTGGGGCGGAAACAAAACAAAAGCCAGAATGTTGAGGAAGCGGCGAAATCATTACCATCATATAGTCACTAGCAAAAAGTGAGATATATTTCCATGGAGCATGTCTACTTTGGTAACTTGATATGTGCTCCTGTATCCTGTGCTCCTGTACTTTGTTAGGGTAGAGTTTCATTTCATTTTGTTTATTGAACCTTAAGGGCCCGTGGGGGTATTACATAAGGGGTGGGGGATCATTCATATTATGCATTGGAAAAACAAACACAAAAATAAATACATTCAGGAAAAGATCGGTAAATGGTTAACAAGATGAAAAGTGCATTCGAAGACTTGATTTAAAGGCGTCTGGGTCTACGATGGTCACGATGGAGGATGGGAGGCTGTTCCAGTCATTGATGGCATGCGGGAGGAAAGATCGGTAGGAAGCGTTTGTTGAGACAGAGATCCTTTTGATAGTGCAGGCATTGTTTAAGAGAGATGATGTTCGATCGGGAGGTGATAATAATGCTCTTTTAAGGTCAAGAGAGTCATAATAGACTTTGTGAAGAAGGCAGCGCTGAGAGATGCTTCTACGAAGCTGCAAAAAAGAGAAAGTTAGTTTGTTTTTTTGTTGTTGTTTTTTTAGGGCAGAAACACTGATGGAGTTATCGTACGTGGAGGCAGTAGCTGTTTTACCATTATTTGATTGTTTAACAGTGTCAGGCGAGATCAAGTCTTGGTGAGCTGGGTCGGATGGGGTCAGGTCGGGTACGGTCAGGTTCGAATCGGATCGGGTTAGGTCGGTCGGGTCGGGTTGGGTTAGCATGGTTCGGTTTTGATTAGGCTAAACTCGAGTGCTCTTAGGTTAGCTTGGCTCGCTTAAGGTGGATGGGGTCGAGTTCACGCGATGGTTTCAATCTGTCTCCGTCAGGATATACCACGTATAGTAAAACATGTAGCAGGTACGTTTCTTACGTCTCATCTTCAGGGTGTTTAGTTTTAATTGATGCCGACAAGCTTACAGTGCACTGTAGTCTGCATCGACGAAAAATAAATCCCATGTATAACGGGAGAACAAGGTTCTTTCCTCTGTCTCTAACCATCATGATGAAGAATCCCACTGAGCAGCAGTATTTGGCCAGTCGGCGAATCATGGGGTAGTGCCAGGTGAGGTCCCCTGTGATGGGGTCCCTGATGGCGACGCTGCCGTAGAACTGGGGCCGGTCGGGCTCCTCGGCTGAGAAGTGGTCCACGTTCCAGCGGTGTGCCAGGGACGCCTGCCGCCGCTTCCAGATTTCGAGAAACACTGTGCCTGCGAAGGAAAGTTCAAAGGTCGGCGTCTACCGGCGCGCAGAGCTCAGGTGTGCTCTTGGGAGCGTTCAACGTCTAAAGGGGACACGCCGCTCCGCCCATAGAGTTATTATAATGTGCGCCAGAGGTTCAACTGGCGCTAGTGTGGTGTGGAAAATGGAAGCAGACAGCAACCAGTCGGAAATTGACTTCTGGTAATGGATTTTCATGGGAAAAAAAGCAAATGCAATTTCTTCCTGCACTTGATTATGAGAGCAAATATCACGAATAATTCGTGCGTACTAAGTAGAGTGGAACGTTTCTCAGTAACGCAGACAAAATGATTGATCAGTGACGGTGTTTTTCTTTCAAATTTATGGCATTAAAAAGGGTGCTAGAACTGTTTCGTACATGTATTTCTGTGCACTGTCGGACATATAGCGCGAACAAAGCGTCGGCGCTTTCCAGCATGGGGGATATACGTGCCAAAGGAACGAAGGCCATGTGGGGAAACCAGGAGAGACGGCAAGAGCTACGCAATAACAGTGGATCAATAACTCCGTTTGCACGCGTGGTCAAAATAAATTTAAGGTTACGTATTAGAGTCCGATTTGCAGTAAATAAGTACTGCTTTCATTTTTCTACTCTGCATATGTTCGAAGACGCTCGAAATATTTGCAAATAGGGAGAAGCCAGAGAACAGGTGCCCGATAGAAGCTAGCTGCCCGACGTAGTAAATAATAAAAAGACACACCTTTTATAGCCTACGTACATTATTATTTACGTTTAGATTTTTTTTCCCCGCTCGAAGAGATACACGACGGGGTCATTTTCATATAGTGACAAGAAGGGCATATTAGCAATATATAACTATAAGCACCAACGGAATGCTGGCGAACTTTGAACACACTCTACATTCCTTTCGATTGCTATTTTGCTCAAAAATGTCGCTCGTTTTTACATACCTGCTATGGAACAGAGGTTTGGGCCTGAAATATAGCGAAGTTTAACATCGTTCTTTTGCAAAGAAAAATTATCTAACTAAAGCAATTGCACTTGTACAATGTTAATAGCTGTACATACTATTCGGTACGACCCAAATGACAAATGTTATCTATGTTATTTTCCGATGAATAGACAAAATGCACGCGCGTTTTCCCTTAGGAATGCACAGGAGCACCACAAAAGTAGACCGTGTTGCTGTCTGCTTCCATTTGCATCCCGGAAGTCGCATGGGCACTAGCGCCAGTTGAACTTCTAGCGTACATTATGATAACTATGACTCCGCCTCGGCAACTGGTTGGCTGCGCCACCAGCGACAGCATCCGCGCGTTCCGCCGCATGCTGTCTTACGTCCTGGACCGTGTTTCTCGATCTCTCTCCGGAGTAGAAGTTTGGCACCTTGACATTCGAAAACGTATTCGTGTCCAGCGTTGCTTTGTAAGTGTTCTCACCTCCTTCCACCCGAATGGAGTTGCTCGGAGCTCGGGTTTCAGTCGTGTCTTCCGCAGTTGCAAGCGGCAACGACGGCAACGCACTGCCGTTCTTTCGCATATCTGGCCGAATTCCGTACAGGTCGACATTCACCACACCAGTGCCGGTAATTGAAAAAAAAAAAAAAAAAAAAAAGCACGAGAAATATTTTTGCTCCTTTCATTGTCGGGTTGCTCTTCGCTCGCTGGCGGATCGTGTAGACTCGTAGCGGGATTCAGGCGATCGTGGTCCTTTCTAGCCAGTGCACGGAAAAGATCTGCGTCAATAATTTCCGGATGTTGTGCAAGAAAAAAAAATGTTCGTTTCGATTGTGGCTTTGGGCGTTTTGTATGGCGCTGCTCCGGGAAAGCTGACACTGGCTGGAAACTGAGGCCGGCTGCTACACACGATGTCTGTGCGATATGCTTCTAAATTCGCGACTCCGGCGAATTACAGGGGGCGGGCTGGTCAGGCAAAATGGCGGACGACAGGAGGTCGTTTTCGTCGTTCAGCACGCGGACCACCATAAATTTCTTGCTCTGCAGCGTAAAATCGGTGATACATATGAAGGCAAATCGATTTTTCGGTTGCAGAAACCTTCTTCTAGTCACGGCGTAGGAGTGGCTCGGTGGAAGCATAAAAAGAATTGCTGGAAACGATGTTTGTTCCAATGCTGCCTACGAGAACCAAGCAGCGATAGCAGACGACAGAGTCGAAACGACCTTCTCTCTTGAGCTTCTCGGCGTTACCGCTACGCGGCGACGATTTCGCTGGAGTCGCCACTAGGAGCCATACCGTGGCTCCAGCTTCCTACCTTCGATAACGCCTTGGCGTCTCGTGAACCTCGATCGTGCACGCGCAGCCAAAGCACGGCGGAAGGCGACGAGCGCGTGAGGGAGATCGCACATCCGAAAGATCGAGACGCGCCTTATACCGTTCTCTCCCCTTTCACTAACTATTCTACACTCCATTTCGCGTGTGACCGAGGGGAAAATGCCTTTTTGCATGTTCGCACCCGGGATCGAAGAACCGCAGATCGATCGCGGACACACATCATTTTTGCCGCTTGTTCTACTTGTGTGGTTTAATCGATTTGCCTGAGCGTTTTCTTTTTTTACATCCGGGGCGGCGTCTTTATATTGAACTGCAGTGTACTAGAATGCAGTGTTCGGACAGGTGTGACTCGACAATGGGAACTTGTGAGGCTGGGCAGGTAGATCGACAACAATCGCGGCGTTGCTGTCGACCGGACAGCACAGAGCCGCATATATAGAGAGTTTGGCCATTCACTGGTAAGTGTGGGAGGCAAATAAGGAAGTGCCATTGGCCGAAGGCGGGCTGGGCGTGCTCCAGGATGTCTTTACAAATTCGAATGTGACCAACCAGAGGCCGGAAATAATACCCTGGTGGTTGTCGCGGGAAACGAAATTAATAAGTGCGTTTGAGGAACTCTCGGTGACTGAAAATATGGTGCACGTGATGTTGCAATCACGGTCATCCGAAATCGTGGTGGAAGAGCACGACTAGCGGAACTATCGACATATTATTCGTACGCTAGGCGCCGGAGCCGGGAATCTGCCGTCCGAGCGTTCACACTCTGTCCGGGCAAAACAGAGTTCGAGCGGCACGTTCGTTTTTAGAGCGCAGCTCTTAGGGGCCCGTTTCCGGCTTGAGCGGCGTCGGCGTCGCCGTCGCCGTCGGCGTCGGCGTTGGCGTCGGCGTCGGCGTCGGCGTCGGCGTCGGCGTCGGCGTAACCGCGCGGTGCATCATAGGAAATGTCCCATAATGCACCGCGCGAGCCCGCCACCGGGGTCACGTGACCTCGTGGGGGGCACGTGACCCCCCACCCGAGGTCACGTGACCCCGGTGCATCATGGGAAATGTCCCATAATGCACCGCGCGAGCCCCCCACCGGGGTCACGTGACCTTTGGGGGGGGGGCACGTGACCCCCCCGAGGTCACGTGACCCCCGCCGATGTCGCGTGACCCCCAATGACGTCATCGTCACTGATGACGTCACCGGCATCCACATCGTCATCGTCATCATCACTAATTACGTCATCATCACTGATGACGTCACCGGCATCCACATCGTCATCGTCTTCATCACTGGTGACGTCACCGGCATCCACATCGTCATCGTCATCATCACTGATGACGTCACCGGCATCCGCATCGTCATCGTCATCATCACTGATGACGTTACCGACATCCGCATCGTCATCGTCATCATCACTGATGACGTCATCAGTGACGTCACTGATGTCGTTACCGGCATCCACATCGTCATCGTCATCGTCACTGATGACGTCATCGGCATCCGCATCGTCATCGTCATCATCGCTGATGACGTCCCCGGCATCCGCATCGTCATCGTCATCATCACTGATGACGTTACCGACATCCGCATCGTCATAATCACTGATGACGTCATCAGCGACGTCACTGATGACGTCACCGACATTCGCATCGTCATCGTCATCATCACTGGTGAAGTGATCAGTGACGTCACTAATGACGTCATCGGTACCCGCATCGTCATCGTCACTGATGACGTCATCAGTGACGTCAGTGATGACATCATCGGCATTGGGGGTCACGTGACCCCGAAGGTCACGTGACCCCCCAAGGTCACGTGACCCCCCCTGGTTAGTTTAACCCCCCCCCAGTGCCCTTCCCTCCTCCTCCTCAAGAGCTGCGCTCTAATTCGGCGTTACAGGGAGTTGTAAGCAGCTTTCACTTTTTTTACATCTTTTTTGCATGATCATAATCGAAACATCACGTGCATCATATTTTCAACCACGAAGAGTTATTACATTTAGCCTTTACGTTCTTATTAAAAATGCTTCTCGCTACCACCGCTAGGGAATTCTTTTCGGCTTCTGGTTGGCCAAGAGAGCATGCCAAGCCCTCTATCTGAGTCTGATGCACGCCCTGGCTCTGTCCGCGCCTCTCATTGACCAAACTCTCTCTCTATACACACCACTCTGGGGCAGCAGAAAGCCGCTGCAGTTCGCAAGTGCCGATGCACTTGCGCGTGCACGCGGTGCACGCGCACATCCACTACCATACTGACCCTACTGCCGATGCGCCGGTATCGATATCTATCGCAATCCACATGCCTCACGCGAGCCGCTCCGGTCCCAAAACTTCCCCGTATTCTAACACGCTGTAATTGAACCTTGTGGCGCGAGTCTGCCCTTCCCGATTAATTTCTACCAGCGCCATTTGCTACATATGCCTTGGATGCAGGAATGCGACAGTAGCTCATCGAATTGAGATTCGAGATAGGATGATTGTGATTGGATAGAAAAGGAAGAAGCAGAGGGACTGGGCGTGTGTGATTAATTCCTTTTCAATTCGATGAGCTAATGTTGCATTCATGTAAACGCAGACATAGATCATGCGGTGGAAGCAAAGCTTAAAATTCAGAATGAACGTTTTCTTTTTCGCTTTGTTTAGTGCAAGAACTGGTTGCTTTCAAACAAGGGTGGTTTTTATCTACAGCGGCTGTGGACGTACCGAGGTAAAATAGTGCAAACACAAAGA